TTTTTTTTATAGCATGAGTATGAAATAGTCTTACTTCTGATTTCTAACAGTAAAGTTTCCAAAAACAGTTGATCATTAATTACAAACATCAAGTCTTGCAAAGAAACATCTTCAATATTGTCCATATTGTAAATTGGTACAGCATACTGTTTTTCAATGTTAACAATCAGAGATCTAATGGTATTTAAATATTCTGAATCTTGAAGTAAAGAATTATTGAATTTCCATAACCCCCTCCCCTTTTGAAATTTGGTGAAGCTTAAACTTATAACTGACATGGAATGGTCTGAGCGATATCCTGGCTCAATAGACGAAGCAGTTAAACTTGGGAGCAGTCCATCGGATATAAAAATGTAGTCTAATCTTGCCTGTTTACATGGATTTCTTCTACGCCAAGTGTATCTTCTTGTATCCGGGTTTAATTCTCTAAAAGTATCTATCATACCTAATTCTTGTTTAAGTCCTAAAACTTTATCTCTGGCCTTGGGGTTATTTATTTGCCGATAATTATCACAGTCTAATTTCGGATCAATAACTAAGTTAAAATCCCCACATATAACAAACTGAAAATTTCCCAACTCTGTTAAAATATTTTCCACTGAAGAAGATAAACATGAAAGAGATATTAAGTACCTTCAAAAAAATATACCCACTCCCCCCAAATAGCAATGACACGGGAAAATGTGTTCTGCCATATTCATGATCATTTTAGATTACATGACAAAAAAAATCTTAAATTCATGTCCATTTTATAGGACACTTATGAAACTCGTTATTTTTTTCATTCTTGGTTTGCCAGAGACTCACTTCAGTGAAAAAATGCATACATTCGTTTCATAAATCTCCCAGAGAATTGAGAATCTGTTTAAATAAAACATCGGACAATTCAAAACAAACCGACGGGTGTACTTTGGACTGAATACGCATGTCTAGTGTACTTAGGCGTCTCCATGATTTCTATTCACATACACGCTACCTGTTTATAAACATGGTCAAATAAACAAGTTCTGATTGTCAAACAGCTGATAATACAAATACTTTTGGTATGTTTTGCATAAATTGACTAAATGTCATTTAAACTACAGTTTACCATATTGAAACAAAAAATTCAGGTTGTGTTGACACAGAATTTTGATAACTTAGTACATGTATATATATAGAGTTGTCTTACAGTACACCAGTATTGGTAATCGTCAAAGTTATGACGCAGAGGAAATATTACCTTCTGAGGGACACTATACCTCTTCGTAGTTATATAGAAAATATTATATTTGACGTTCCAAATATACATAATAGTTTTCATTCATTGAGATGATCTACACAATATGGTTCGATAAAGAACTGACATGTGTATCAGGACAAGATTTGCCATCGCGATTTTTTTTTTTTCAATTTTCAGGAAACCATCATTAAATTCCAATTTTAACTGAAAATATGCCTGTTTGAAATAAATTTTCTATTTTCGTATATGTGGTTTTCAAATCTAAGCTTTTTCGTCAAAAATTACAGTGTCCTTTACGTATTGTAACTAAGGAAGAACTAAACAGTGAGCCATTGGTTAGAAACAAATCAATACGTCTAAATCTGAGTTATTATTGACGTCACGAATAAATATCTACCTATACAAGTATGATTGTTTACTATTTGTACATGGCTAATAGCCCGATACACATAGAGCAGGTTGTGACACACCCAGGTATAATTAGTATGGTTACACGACACTATAAAAAGGACCGCAATTGTTTCGATAAAAAATATATATTTCTGAATTCTAATTCGTTTGAGATGTAACACGACATTTGATTGGTTAATCAAAATAATTTGCAACAGTATAATCATGCACGATATACCGCAGCAAGTTTCAAAATACAGTAGGGTTATCCCCTAAATACAGTAGGGTTATCCCCTAATTACACCGACATATTCAATTAAACATTTTCACAAATAAGTTATTTCTGTTTATTTTTCATAAAAACAAACCTGTTAGATTTTTCGAGATTAATTTTTTGTTCATGAAAATAAATGTGAAGATGATTTATACTTTTGTATATATGTATATGATAATTCTGAGGGATACTTTTTTTATATTAAAACAACAACAAACAAACAGGCCAAAAAACGTTGAGTGAAATATTGTAAGCGTTATAAAATCTATAAAATCTCCACAATTATCTATAATATCTAATTAGCTGTTTCTACTCCCCCCTGATCGGTGAGACATTACTGATGTGTACATTGGACCATAGTACAGAACCAATACAGCTGTATTGTACTCCGTATCGATTTCTATGTCAAGTATTAAGATCGAGTGGTATACAATTGAACACATACCTGTACAGGTAAATTACGATACTTCAATCTGATATACGCCGCTATTTGATTAGATAATTGGCTCGCGCAAGCACACCATGAGCTTAAACGTGTCAAATATCAAGTGTTTAAAATATCTAAAATATCTAAATTACAGTCTGAATTTAAATACATCAATATGACACAATTAGACAGGTTATTTAACTGTTTAATAAGCAATTATGACGCCATACTAAAAAGTATGAAGATTTCGTTCTGAATTACATATACTAATAGTATCACGTGCATGGTTTTATACTAATACGTCCCTGGATCAATCTATCCAAGGCAATCTTAGTGCATTTCCCCAGTAATTCAAGGTAAAGATTCATTCTTGTTCATGCCTCGAGTGTATGACTCAGAAATCTCAACAAGAGAGTAAGATTCCTGAATACCAAGGTTTCCGGAGGGTTTGACATCAAGGTTCTTATCCCGAAGTATACGATTTCTTGGTTACACCTCCAAAGTAGAAAATGACTACTATAGACCTCGCGGCTGAAACGTAAGGGTGACAATCTGTTAAGTGATGTCTTTTACATCACAATGAGTTATAATCTCATTTCATTTTATAATATATAGTACTCGTTCTACCTTCATGTTGAGGTTGTATGATTGACTTTGAAGTTTTGTTATTTCCTAGAAATTTGGTTAGCTTAAGGCTTTATTTGTATTATTTCATAAACAACTAAATTGTGCTTCATAAGAGTCCGCTAAGTTACCTTAGGAAAAGCTTAAAGTTTCCCCCAACTTATGACTATTTCATGAATTTGTAATTATCATGTATGGAATTGAATCTATTGCATATGTTTTCCGCCATTGTACAAGATCTTTGTAAAGTATTTATCAATATGTCTATTTCTGTACGCCTATATGCAATGTGCATTTGGTAATAAATTGAATTGAATTGTGAAGGGCATGCAGAAGGTCATATCAACCCGGTCACACGTCTCAGACTACTGTTTTTTTCTATAAGCTTAAGGCTCGCACTCATTTTGAGAAACTACTATGTCTTTTCAGTAATGGGACTTTCCACCATTCTGTAATACGACGCTTAGGACAAAAATCACTGTTAAAAGCCTACCTACACAGTAAGGTGATCTGCCATAGTCGGGACATACGGTAAAAGCTCAGGAAAAAGGAATAACACACAGCTGAGTGGAAAAGACAAGATGTAGGCTATTTCAGGAATTATGTGAAAGTAATTATTTTGTAGGTTATTTTTCTTTTTGTTTTAATCATTCCCTTAATCTCTTCCCAGGCTACCGAACGGTGGCTGATTGAAGACACGTACATAAATATTTTCATCTCGTTATAACGAGATAGCATTTCGTTATAACGACTTAGTATCTATGTACAACGAGATAGTTATCCTGTTATAACGATATGCTTCCTCGTTATAAAGAGATTTAAATAATATTTGAGGGCCATTCAGCTACCGTATAGTAAGGTGTTACCTCAATCTATAAATATTGATTACCCACATATTGTAAATCAATTTAAATAGGTTTGAATACACCACTACTCTTTTGCTATCTAAGCTTGATAGTCATGTGCAAATATTGTTCAACAAAACACAACAGTTACTGACGTATGTGTTACACATTATGTTACGTGTATATACATGTGTGTAGTTACGATCGTGCGGGAGAACCTATCCGTTCACCAGCACTAGTTCCTGTATAACAATATTATATAAACTCTATATACACAGAACTTCTCCCACCAGACAACGTATCATCCTTCATATATAACATTGGGAATGTTTAATCTTGTAGGTCATTTTACAATTTATATATAAATATATATAATTATAGTGGTAGAGTTTATCTGTCAATCAGCGGTCACTCTTCCACTCTTATCTCCTTTCCCTCTGACATTTCCCGCGTTCGCTGCACGAGACAAGATGTCGGCCCTCCTCGTGGTATGTATTTCCCTGTGTGTGGCTGTCCCGGCCGTTCATGGAAGTATCAACTCTGTCATGAGCCGGCTGTCGGACCGGATATTCCTGGACCAGAATACCCGGGATAGTCCAGGACATCCGCCTTTCTCTTGGAGCCACAATAAAGGACTCTACGGCACTGAGGTAAAACTAAACTTCCACGGGGAGCCGGAAATGGCGGTACTCCGGGAGGCGTTCTCGATTTATGACAATAACATGTTTGCGACGGCCTGGATCACGGCGTGCTCACTTGAGACCACACTGTACGGGACGGGACCCATGACTATTCCCCTTATGATCGATTCCGCCGTGGAAGCAATCGGGAACTTCCACAACCGGAACTACAACTTCACCAACTCCATCATGACCTTCTGGCCCCAGGTTTACAACGCCACGACTCGGACATTCCAGAGTACTCCCTCTAACCTGCTGCAGCTATTACAACTCGCGGACACCTTCCCTGTTAAACTGATCGAAGACCTCATGAAGATATTTGGCCTGAAGGACATGGAGCAAGTCGTTGAGCATCTCATCCAAGAAAAGTAGCTATATAGGTTGGCATCGATATGAGGGGTAACATTTATCATTATTACCCGACTCTCTATTTAAGTGTATATGAAGTATTTTTGACTGTTTTAATAAAAATTCCCTGGAATAGACTGAAAACCCGTAAAATAATGTCAGGGTGCAACAGTCGACTGTCCGACTGTTGCACACTTACTGTTGCATGCGCGACAATTGTGCGCAGACAATTTCCCCGTCGGCGGCCCCACTCAAGCGTCTTTTTGATACAGATTTGTTTGTTGTCGTCTGGTGAAAATGGCGAATAACGGCAGATTTGAGGATGTTTCTGAGCAAGATTTGGAATTGCTTATGGAAAATAGGGACTCTCTTAGTACACAATTTTGGATAAATATTGTGCAGAGAAAGGTGTAATGATCGACGAAAGCTGCAGTAATGAAGAACTGAACGACTTTTTGTGTAGATTTTACGTAGAATTAAATCTTCTATCCTGTCATACAGTCATTTATCCTACCTAGCACAATTCAGGAAGTTTCTTAAATAGAGAGTCAGGTAATAAATCATTTGCCGGTTTCATTGGTACTGGGGGAACAGTCAAATCCTTGACCCTCGGTAGCTACCTCGGGTCAATGATTTGACTGTTCCCCCAGTGCCAATGAAACAATTGTATACTGCATCGATTTGAGGGGTAACATTTATCACTGTTTTATTATTTCTGCTCTGAAGTCTCTATCGTCTTCCAAATTATCTGCTCTTGATTCTTACGTCATTTGTTTGTGTGAGTGACGTCATCAATTTTTGAGAAAACGACGTAATTATCTCACACAAACTTATGACCTATATCAATCAATACCTGCTCACAAGAGAAGATAACTCTGCAATACGCAAAGACGGGATATAGTATTTTCAATACTTTTTATTGTGACGTCATTTTGTGACGTTTTAAGAGGACACCTCAAAGTATTCAAATAATTGCCACCTGGAAGCAATTTCATACGTTTATATGCCATTTTAGGCGGTTTTTATTTTCATAAAAATGAATGAATCAATCAAAATCATCGTTCAGTTAAAATTAATTTATATATATATATATATTCCTTTATACTGGAATAGACTACCGTTACAACTTTGAGACCATACAAATTATGACGGCAACGATTAATAGGGTCATGGCATTCATAGCTCATACAAATGCTATCTGTATTTGGCAGGGTTATATTGTGACACTGTCATACAGAGGTAGATATTGGGTAATGACGCTTTTCAAGATCTGATGAATCTACGACAAATATTATCATGATGCAAATTTTGTTTCATCAATCCTACCAATTTTATCAGACACTTTCCTGTTACGTTCTCGAGTTCTTGAAATCGTTCAGTGACAAAGTTTCCAGGTACTTTTTAAATGGTCTAAACTTTAAAGTACATTTATGAAGCATATATTAGAAGGACCGTTACCAGAACACATTATACAGTAATAATTGGCACTTTCAGGGACATGTTTTCCCGCGCTTTCCATATCCCTCCTGACTTTGACGACACCTTTGTGAACCTTGGATTGGGAGCCCTGCTCAGAAATGCACAGGAATCATATCCACAGTCATGGAAACAATGGCAGATACAAAACTCTAATGTGACATCAGCACTGCACGCGCTCCGGAAGTACGCCTATAGGCCGTCCTCAACTAACCCGGATGTGAACACAATCGACCCGAGAACTTATTTTTACATGAGATCCTTTCTAAGCGAGCATCATGACGAAAATCTCGCGTTGGTGCCCACATGGGTAGGTACAGAGTTACTATTCCGTCTTTGCGTATTGCAGAGTTATCTTCTCTTGGGAGCAGGTATTGATTGTTACGTCATTGGTTTGTGGGAGAAAATTACGTCGTTTTCTCAAAAATTGATGACTTTACCCTCACAAACAAGTGACGTAACAATCAATACCGGCTCCCAAGAGAAGATAACTCTGCAATATGCAAAGACGGAATATGGTAGTTGAGGGTAGAGGATCTCATTAGATAGTTGACAAGGTGAAGGCATCAGTTATTCTGCTGAAAAGAAACCATTGTATGGTGTATATTGTGTTGATGTGAGGTAGTTGTTCATCAATAGAAACAACAAGCAACAATTAGGCGATGAACAGTTACACCATCAAAAATCACTTGGAACATTCATGAGGTCCTCATGTTCTATCTGAAACACATATCAAGGCCCAATAACCACATGCTTTCAATAAATAAATAAATATGGATTTGTGATACAATTCCGAGCATGTTTCGTAGTCTTGCGTGTTTTACCTTGCGTTCTCCATTAATATGTTGTCAACATTGTTTAAATCTCTGGTTCAAGTTGTCATGTTTTTTGTTGTTGTTTATGCTGTGGTGCTTTGTTACCCTTCTTTGTTGATATTTGATTATTGACAACACGTGTGTCCACAGATCCAGAATACGCGCGAGGCTATGCAGGGTGACAAAAAGGGCGTGTCAATGCCTTTTTCCGTCAACAATGTTGACGTCACTGTTGCTGCCAACGCCATTTATGGTTTAACATCCGGGCTCCTGTCGAACATCATCGATGACGTCGAGTTTGACGCCGACCTACAGGTTTGTGATTGACTCCACCATTAAATTGTGTGATTTGCTTACCATGCAATCTTATCGTGGTTACATAAAGATGGCAATCGATACTGATTACTGCATTTGATGTAACGGACGTATCGTTGTTAGGTAATTCGTCCGTCTCGCCGATACCCTGCTTTATACTGTATTATGTTTATGCGTTTCATTCTGGTACATGTTATATGCTACACTGCTGTAGATAACCTTATTCATATATAGAACACACGAACATTTTAAACAGAGAACATAATGCATATGTCTCTTAATGATATATGATTTTATTTATTATATAACGGAATATCTCGTCCTTTACTGATGTACGTAAATGATCCACAGAGAATATACCTGAACACATCGTCACTTATCGCCCACGAGCTGTCATACAACTTTTCCTCGAGGCCTGATCTTGCCCTCACGTATTATCCGTCCAAACATGAATGCTACTGGTTCGTGGCTCGAACCTTATCGCTAATGCAAAGATATCTTCTTAACAACAACGAGACCGACACACTTCCGTTTCCGGTAAGTAATACCAGTATACATGTACATACTTTATCCCGTTTAGTTAATTTAGTTTTTCCCCACAAATTTTCATTATTTCTCATAGTCAACTTGCCGAAATTAGAATTCAAAATATCAACATAATCTGGCGTTAATCAAGAGTAAAATCTTCATGTCGACTTAAGGTGATGAACACGGTCAAACTCGCGTTTGAGAATACTCTGAAACGGGAAGTAACTCCAGAGATCCTAAAGGCTTCAAAGGATGATTTTGAAGGTCGGATATACTGGGACAATTTCCTGGGGGACGGGGACATCAACTCTGACAACTCGTCTGTGGTAAGTTTGTGTCGTATACTAGGTCGTTTACCTTGACAATGTTCAATGTGTTAGGAGTTCTTGTGTTAACTTTTAAATGAGTTAAAGTTAATTTTGTGAGGCATTAGTTCAAAATAATAACTTTAACCTTGTGCAACAAGATATAAGCATGTTAACACTGACCCTTTGCCATTTTTGTGATATCTCATTACGTTACCTTTGACATTACGTGTCATCACTATAAACCTTGACATTGTCTGTCCTAAGGTCCGTGCCGAGGACCGAATTTTCACCACTGCCATGGTGGTCAATACCTTAATTGACGTATGGACCGTGTACAACCAATCAGCATTCAGGCTGGAATGGTTACCAGGTAACCAACCACTCCCAGCTATAATAGCTCATTTGTTATGACATGAACATCTATATGGTTCCCGACACTCTTGCATTATATATATATTTATAGTATAAAAAAAATGTTTTGCACCTAATTGTTAAATCATAGACAGTCTTCTCCACATAACGTTAAATAACTAATTAATATAACTAATAACTATATGACTTTTTCTTCCAACTTATCGATGCACGTGACAAGGTTTGACTTTTGTTGCTAGGTGTCTCTCCCCAACTTAACGACACAATCAAACGAGCGGTGGCCTGGCTCACTGACTTCTCCCTCGGCCCTACGTACAAACCCTGGAACACGTTCTTCTCTGGCTCTGGCAAGGGATTAAAGGTTAGTCATCTATTGAAGGTTAATATTCAGGGTCATTATCCTACTTCAACGGTAAGCAATCTAAAGGGAGTAGGATGTAAGAAGATAATTAACTTGCTCTGTATTGATAGAATGCACGAGGTTTCACTTCGTTTCAACATCTCACTCATTTAAAATGACTTCACTGGTAATGGGGGCCTTTTTTGGAATCGTCGGCACTTTCCGAAAACTAGAAAACAAAATTTCTCGTTTACGAAAAGTGCCGACGGTTCTCGATAAATAACTTATCGTCAATTATTGTATGAAGGAAAGATAACCCCTGTCTAATTCCGTGCTTATGTTAATCTCTTGTTTCCAAGTCAGTCTTAGTAATTCACATTTAGTAGTCTTCCCGTTGTCAACTGTGATCTAAGTGTATTGCGCAGGCGCAAGCTCCAAATTGTAGCATATCTCATAGGTATCTCATAGGTAAGACATCAATGAAACGTCTAAGGCTTGTAATGATGTTTTGTATCATCATTTCGTTAATTGGTTGATGTAAGAGGTATCTAACATTATATTGTATCAGGATGTCTCGACTGGAACAGCCACATAAGTATGTATACCTATTGTTATAGTTAATTAAAAGGACGAATAAAACTTGTATGCATGATCTTTCTAGTGCACGTTTAGCCTAATTCTTAAAACTATTTAAAATTTGGGCGTTAAACACTTCTGCTGATAGCTTAACACGCGGACTGGGATCGATTGATTCGGTATCAAGCACAGGAATATAAAGAAATTACTTCGTAAATAACAATATTTCAACATAAAACTGTCCGACATTTGAAGTTGATCGAGTGTCCTCGGATCACAAATATGATTACACTAGATTTGACCATAAAAACAGCGAAATTAGTCTCTTATTTTTGCATTGATAAATAACAATGTTGTTTCACGTATTTTTGCAGAGCCTGCCGTTTTGGTACCCTGCCAACAGAATCGAGTACATGAACGGAACCGCAGTAAACTCCTCAGTTATCCCCCATGGCGTCAACTTTCTCATAGGGATTTCAGGCTACGTGCCCGATGAGAAGTACAACGCCATGTTGAAGGTGCCCCATTTCGGAGTTATGACGCCCACGGACTTTCCTGGATTCAATGACCCTACGGAACCTCACGGGTTTTTCCCGTTCTGGTCGTCGGATTCTTATACATATTCTGCCACTTTGATGGCGCTGTCTAAATATACTAATATAAAGCAATGATTGTAAAATTCATGGTTGAAATAGTTTTTTGATCAATATTTTTGCTTTCCTTAACAAATCTGAATTGCCTGCTGACGGATTTCAGCAAAATTCAGAAATGAGTTTCTGAGACCATGTTTTTAGCTCACCGGGTCCGAAGGACCAAGGTGAGCTTATGCCATACCTTGGCGTCCTTCGTCCCTCCGTCGTCTGTCGTCCGTACGTCAACAATTTTTACAAACGACTTTTTCTTAACCACTGATTGGAATTTAACTAAATTTGACTGGAAGCATCCTTAGGTGCTGGGGATTCAAAATTGTACAAATAGTGGGACTAACCCCCCCCAGGGGGCTGAGGGGCAGGGTCAAAAGGGGACAATTTTTCAAATTTGCTATAGACAACTTCTTCTGTAGAACTATGCCATGGATATCAATTATATTTGGTTGTAAGCATTCATGGGAGGCGGGGATTCAAAACTATATAAATGGTGGGGCTGACCCCCCGGGCTAAGTGGTGGGACCAAAAAAGTTTATTGCTTGGAAATGGTTGAGATCCCCACCGTACAACCATATATACAATTGCTGAATATAAAGAGAAGAATGTACATTTGCTTCCAGGATGGACCGGAGATCTGGCCCCACCCTTGGAGGCATAGTCCTTGAGTCATACCTTGGAAACGGTGGAGATCCCCACCGTACAACAATATATACAATTGCCGAGTATAAAGAGAAGAATGTACATTTGCTTCCAGGATGGCCCTGAGGTCTAACCCCACCCTTTGAGACATAGTCCCTGGATCATACCTTGGACACGGTTGAGATCCCCGACCAAAACTGTATATACTAATGCTGGGCATAAAGAGACGAATGCAGTCATGATATTAGAATAGACCCTGGGGTCTGACCGAACCCCAATGGACCTAGTTTCTGAGTCACAGCTTGAAAACAGTTGAGATCCCCACCCAATAACCATATATACAATTGCTAAGTATAAAGAGATGAAAGCACATACGCTTCGAGGATGGCCCCGGGTTCTGCTCCAACCCTTGGAGACTTAACCCCTGGGTCTTAACTTTGAAACGGTTAAGATCTCCACCCCAAATATAGATATACAATTGTTGGGCATAAAGAGACGATTGTAGTCATGATATTAGAATTGACCCCAGTGTCTACCCCATCCTTGCATACTTAACCCCTGTGTCATAACTTTGAAACGGTTGAGATCCCCACACCAAAACTATATATACAAATGCTGGGCATAAAGAGACGAATGCAGTCACGATATTAGAATTGTCCCTGGGGTCTGGTCACAACCATAGGGACCTAGTTTCTGAATCACAGCTTGGAAACAGTTGAGATTCCCACCCCATAACCACACATAGAATTGCTGGGCATGACAAATCTAATACAGATATGCTACAAAGATTGGCCTTGGGGTCTGGCCTATTCCCTTGGATCACATTTGGAGAATATTTTGTCATGCTTGCTTAGATATCCAGGTGATCGATACAGGCCCTCTGGGCCTCTTGTTTACTTCATTGTGCCGCTCAGAACGAGTATTTTCTCGTTTACGGAAAGTGCCGACGGTTCCCCGATGGATTGTAATATTGCTTGGACAGATAAACAGGTTAAAGTAGTTTGAATGGAGGTACGATTAATGGCATTTGCAGATTTTTTTTTTTTTTTTTTAATAAGACATATAATTTTCAATCATATCCGGCTATCGAGTAAGTTACGTGTATGTTTTCTTTACATGATACAAATGAATTTCTACATAATAATCGCTTGAAAGACTAGAAGCAATCACGTCTTCAGGATGGAAATGGAAGCAAGTTAAAACTATGTCACATCACAACAAACAAAAACATATATATGTATAGGTATATATAAGCGACAAGTATGTTTTCTGTTACCCTCAGCATGCCATTTGGGGTCAACGTCAACATGCTTTATTATAGAAATGAATCAACCAGATCTAGAATGGACAGAAGTTGTTGTAACACAACAATAGCGCTTTGCACAATACATTTACATAAAGTGAGAAACGTTATGATGTGGACAACAAGACATTTTATTTAACTTGGACAGTTGCATGTATGTACGAAAAAATGTAATTTGCTGTGATATTACCTAAACCTGTCTGCTGATTTGATGTAACTCTGCACATTTCTAGAAATTGAAGTGTTTATTTTTGTCGACATATTTTCATTTTTCAAGAACATTTAATTTGTGCCAATGACAACATCCAAATTAAAAGCAGCAATGTTTGACCGGAGATTACTTCTTTAACATGGTAACGTGGACATATGCTAAAGCAGATATAGACTTTCTCCCGTGGACTTTCACATCTAAATTCATTATTCACAAAGTTGACTCTGTAAAAGTCATAAGTTAAATAATTAAGTTTCTTGTTACAAGATTTACGTCATCACCGACGCTGTGGTAACATAAATCCACCGTTCTACCTCATAGTCACAAATGGCGCGATAGAAAGAACTCGCAATTCACCAGTCGAACGGTACAAAATGTACAACACAAACCATTTGATTGAATATTCGGACAATATCTCAATTTTGACCAGTCTAAAATCTGTTTAAAACGACCGTTTTGTTAACCAAGTAAATGGAAGCTGTTGAACATTTTGTTACAGCAAAATACTGACCTTTAAACCAAATTTGTTTAAATATCGGACAATATGCTACAGCTGCCACGCTCCCGTAAACGTCAACTTTGGGTTTTTTCACATTGGGGAAAGTGTCTCTTAAAGACTTTTCTTTCACAAGGTTTCGTTAAAAATTACAAAACATCAGCCAATCAGAAATGCCGTGGCGGCCATGTCTGATGTTCGATCGGAAAAAGAAATGCGGTGTGAACCTTATTGCCCATTATATGTGACGCTTAATATCCGGCAAGTAGTCTCCGAGGAATCGTTTAGAAATATTTTGGCGGTAGAAGTATCAGTTAAGTAGTCTCAGAGGAATCGTCCGAAAATGCTTTTGGCGGTTTGGTTTATTTTGTTTAAACGTCCTATCAACAGCTAAGGACATTTAAGGACGTGTCTTCATGTGTGTTGTATCTGCGTGCTTGCGTGTGTGTTTGCAGCAGACAGGGTATGTTGGTGTATTTGCCTCCTTGTGATAGCGCGGATCTGATGCCGACTTAATAGTGCTTTCTTACTGAAATACCATGTCAAAGCACCAAGCAGAGCTAACAGCTACCATTTTAAGGACTTTGATATGTCACGGCCTGGGGACAGACCCCATGACCTTCATCACCTGGGTAAACTTTCAACATTAACGCCAAAAGTGAGTAGTTGCCAAGGAAGGCGCTAGGAAATAAAGGAAGTCAGAAGCAGAGAGGGCTATATATATTTGCACTCCGTCTGTTCGTCTTTCCGTCATTCCAACCTTCCGTCTTTCCGTCCAACCGAGAAGCATGTCCGGGGCATATTTTCTATACGATTTCACCTGGAGTAACCAGATTTGGTGTACAAGGACAACTTGGGATGGCAGTGTGCAGAGGGCAGGAAAAAAGTCACTATGACCTTAAGGTGACCTATACTTTGACCTTTGACCTCAACTTTTGGAAATGTTTGTCGGGGACATATCTTCTCACCTGGAGTAACCAGATTTGGTGTGCAAGGACATCTTTGGAAGGCAGAGTGCAAGAAGTAGGTCACTGTGACCTACATGTGTATGTTTCCTAACGTAAATGTACTGTTCGTTAAATATAGAAATCATCACCGGTGGGGGACTATGGATTTCCTCGCAATACTTTGCCTTGTTATTGTTATTTTGTGTCGGCTGGATGTTTTTGTGTTTTAAATCTAAAGGGTCCGATTTCTTAATATCTTTCTTGAAAACAAGTCCACTTGATTTAAACATATCTTATTGCAGTAGTTACCTACTTTAACCTCAATTGAGAACCGTTTACGATATATAGATAAATAAATGCACGTAAACCAGAAAGACTTGAAGAAACTGATGCATCAATGGAAGTTGTAGTGTATGTCTACAGACACGATTTAATTTCCAAAAGAGCAGTAAATATTCATATAAAAATGTCCATATTTTGGAAATATAGAGCGATTTTGTCGAAAGGTGGGGATGAATAAAGCCCTTCTAAGAGAGAATTAATTTCTTCTCAGGGTGGGGCGCATTCAGTATCTCTATTTAACATGACAACATCTTTTTATTTTGAAGAAAATATGCATGGAGGTTCTTATTTATCCGAATGCTAACAATTGTAAGCGCAGAATGTCATCGAATCACCTATATTTCAACACCACCCACGGAGTTTAACAATAACTTTAGAATGACAGTAAAAGGTCTTTTATCTTAAAAAACAACTATAAGTTTGCATTAGTCTAACTATTAATGCATTAAAAAACGTAGAGACGTATATATATCAAGTTATTACAATTTCCCTCTGATTAGCGGCGTTCACATTAAACGCGTTAAAATGAAATTTGAGGGGGGGATGGAAAGTCGTTTTTACGTATAACTGCATGTAATAGTTACTTAATTGTGCTAGCGGGCGAAGTAGGACGAAACCACTGTACATCTATATACCATGGTATTTGTAATTTTATAGGACTCCAAAAATGTGGTAAACATCGGGTTACAGAGTGCACTCGTTCTCGCGGACACGTTTGACTGCACACAGTCAACAATCTCTCCTCGCACGTGGACGCTGGGGAAGTGTCAGCGGCAACAAGTAAGTATGTAGTCTTACAACGTATATTAACTGGTATGTAACGTAAGTCTCGTTAATATATTCATAGTTGTCTTATTGTCAGTTGTAATAAGCTTGGTTATTTATGAACAAACATCGCCCTAACATCTATCATGAGTGACACCGTACGTGAAACACATGTGATCCGTTTTGAACACCACTGTCACTGGGGGCAATGTATGGACCAGAGTGTTACCTTTTTGTTTATACTTACACAGTATAAGTCCATAGTAGTTAATTAGTATCCCAAATGTTCTCAATAACTTTTTTAATAGAACAAATGAAAAGGAAAAGGACAATAAATCATTTTTTGTAAACCTACCCTCCAAGTTCTCAACAATGAAATGAATGTCATATTAATGGTCAAAATACAGGTCATGCAAGTTTGTTAACTAAATCAATAATAAGGCATTTAAACTATAAAAAACTGTCTTGTTGTAGCAGCTTGCCTTTCTTGAGATCAGTATTTTTTTTTAAATCTTGAAAAGGGTATTTTTTTTCAACATCTATTTTCAATGTCGGGATAATAAGTCCAAATGAAGGGAAGTTCCAAAATATAGTACATACAGACCATGAAGGTCATTTGCAGGTTGACCTATACAAATACAGGTGAGCTTGCAGATATGGGTGTGTGTTTCTGGGAACAAAAGAATAACATTATTTAATCTACCGGGGAAGGTCAAGGTCACAATAGTTTTACTGTATTCAATTGAGAGCTAGCTGTACCCAAAGTGATAAAAATCATTTTGAACACAGGTGAGGAAAATTCAAGAACTTAAATCACCATGGAAACAGTTCTTGTTATTGGAAGTGGTGGTCGAGAACATGCGTTGTCATGGAAACTTGCCCAGTCGTCAAGTGTGAAGCAGGTTTTTGTCAGCCCAGGGAATGCTGGAACTTCTAAGAATGGGAAAATAGACAATGTTGGTAAGTATGTTAGTTTAATATAACCTCTTTCAGAACTTTTGTCGAAGGGCACAATCATGGGCTTAATTTCAAGGTGAAGGTCAATAGGGACATCCTCTCACAGTTAAAGTCAAAACCTTATCAAGTCTGTAAACCAATGTAATATTAACATATAACGAGATTTTGTACTCAGAATCATTCCAGGTCACAATCTTGCTCTCATCATAAGTTCAAGGCCACAATCAAAGCCATCATCTTAAGGTCAATGTCAGAATCAAGACCTTCCTCTCAATGTCAAGGTCACAATCTTGATTTTATCTCAATTTCAAGGTCACAATCTTGAATTCATCTCAATGTCAAGGCAATCATCTTAAGGTCAATGTCAGAATCATGACCATAATTTTATAAGGAAGGATGTAATATGAAGCCATTCATCTTGAGGTCATGCCCACCATCATTTGGATCTCTCAAGTTCAAGGCCACATTCAGGTCATTAAGCTCAAGGCCATAATCGGTTACTCGAAAAGCACACTCAAAATCCTGAGTCTCATTTCATGGTCACAATAATAACATTCTTCTCTTAGTCATTGTTTTTCTGATCTGCTTACACTAATCAAGATAAAGTACATGTAAGTGACATGTATTTGTTTATGCTTTATGTAAGAAATTATCTTGTTCTTATTCCAGGAATTAATGTGAAAGATTTTGATACAGTTGCAAAGTTCTGTAAGGAAGAATCAGTTAGCTTAGTGGTTGTTGGTCCGGAGGATCCTCTGGCCAATGGGATAACTGACCGTCTCACTGAAGCAGGTAAATACTGGACCAGGAACCTATGACCACACTGCAATGTACGTGGAGTACAGTATTATAGTTGATTGAAAACTGAAACTTGTATAGGTGTCTGCCTTTCAGTTGTCACTTGTTAGTGGTAAGATTTTTTTAAACTGAAGTACAGGTGTTTATCTCCGATTTGCTCTATCAGTAAGAAACATCGTAAATGAATCAAAATGGGCTTCACTTCATAAGTATGACAAATTAAGTCATTCCAAAGTTACTATTGGCTCACAAATGTTTTGAAAGAAATGAGTGTAATTTTGTAAGTTGACAGAAATTCATCATTATTTTGGCATAACTTCACTGTTTTATATTTTATCCAAATCAACCAACTATTCCATTATTTGTCCTTTGTTGTGTCCAGATATCCCAGGTTTTATTTATGTCCTGTGAAGGTATTCCACAGGTTTGTTCTTTTGTTTTCTTTCTCAGGTAAGGTAGCATGTTTTGTCCTTTGTCTTTCTGTTATGTTATTGATTATTTTGTCCTGTATTGTTCTATCCTTTCACTGTTTTGTCCTTTGTCTTTCTGATGTGTTTTTGATTATTTTGTCCTGTATTGTTCTATCCTGTCATTGTTTTGTCCTTTGTTTTTCTGTTGTGTTATTGATTATTTTGTCCTGTATTGTTCTATACTGTCACTGTTTTGTCCTTTGTCTTTCTATCTTGTTATTCTTTGTTTCGTTATATGTCTTTCTATCTTGTCATTTATTCTTTTGCCCTTTGTCATACTATCTTATTATTCAATAATTGCTTTGTCCTTTGTCTTTCTATCGTGTTATTCATTTTTTTGTATGTTGTTGTTTATTGTTTTGTTCTTTGTCTTTCTATCTTAATTGATATTCATTGTTTTGTCTTTTGTCTTCAGGTATTCCATGTTTTGGGCCTAGTGCAGCTGCATCTCAGATTGAAGCCAGCAAATATTTCTCCAAACAGTTCATGTATCGCTATGGCATTCCCACCGCTAGGTACCAGAGTTTTACAGATGTTGAATCAGCTAGTCAACACATCCAGCAGTAAGTTAGAAGTTTTACAGGGACAATTACATAGGTACCAGAGTTTTTCAGAACTGGAATCAGCTTGTCAACACATCCAGCAGTAAGTTGGTAGTTACAGGGACAATTACATAGGAAGTTAGGAACCAGAGTTTTATAGAAGTGGAATCAGCTTGTCAACACATCCAGGGGTAAGTTACAGGGACAATTACATAGGTACCAGAGTTTTACAGAAGTGGAATCAGCTTGTCAACACATCCAGGAGTAAGTTACAGCGACAATTACATAGGTACCAGAGTTTTACAGAAGTGGAATCAGCTTTTCAACACATCCAGGGGTAAGTTACAGGGACAATTACATAGGTACCAGAGTTTTATAGAAGTGGAATCAGCTTGTCAACACATCCAGGGCCTTGGGTAAGCTACAGGGACAATTACATAGGTACCAGAGTTTAGCAAAGTGCCTAAATGATGCAAACATTTGAAGAACCATGATGCAGTTAATTAAAAACTGCAAGGTAAGCACGTCAAATGTTGTATAGGGAGAATTGTGAATGTGTACTGCTATTAAATTGTTATTTATGACTAAACACTTAAAATTGTTTGTTTGCATTGGCCGTGTCGTACGTCTGTCATGTTATAAAACAGCTGTATATTGAAGGTCAACATACCCAGCCCTGGTGGTGAAAGCTAGTGGTCTGGCTGCGGGGAAGGGCGTGATAGTGGCAGACTCTACAGAGAGGGCGTGTCAAGCTGTCGGGGAAATTTTACAGGTAATATCCCCTTCCTAGTAACAGATTATAGAGTCCTACAGGAAATACTTACATTCCTGTAGGTACTGCTAAATAACTGTAGTTAGGAAACATATGTTTATTTAGGTTCTGTAATAGAAACATTCTTAATTTTCCTTCATAGACTATCAAAAAAATATCAAGTGTTTGATTGTTCAACCCCATTGGTTCTGCTACTGCCTATACTTCACCTATTTTTAGTACACATTTAGACTTAAGAATTAAAGTAAACTTAAATAATTGTAAATGTTTGACACTTTTAATCTCTTTAAAGAAGAAAAAATGCAAGCATAATTACGGATAATTTATAGTTTGTAACATCTAGCATTTTCAGTAATTCATTTCAGAACTTTATCCCTCTGTATTGAGATAGTTCTGTGTATCATATTGTTTTATGTAGATGAGAAGTTCTACTGTATTTACTCTAATGGCTGTTGAACAGGAGAAGAAGTTCGGAGCTGCGGGAGAAACCATCCTTGTGGAGGAGTTACTAGAGGGGGAGGAGGTGTCTGTATGTACATTACACACTCCATCGAACAGTTGTAAAATATAGTCACAAAATTGTCTTTTAATAGGTTCCATTTTTTTCAAATTTATGAATAATGTTTCAATTTGGTTGTAAATTTAGAATTTAATGTTTACAAGTTAAGTGATTTTAAGATAAAGATTGAAAAATAAACAACTTCATCAGCACACAAAGACAATATCAATTTGGATATTATTTCATAATTTCGTTACATGGTATAATATTCATGCTTTAATAATTTTTCCAAAACTATATGTTAACTCTGAATCTTATTCGTTATAATTGACATTAAATAGTTGTTATGAATCAAACGTGTTCCAGTGTTTGGCGTTCACTGACGGTACTACAGTTGCTATGATGCCACCTGCTCAGGATCACAAAGCATTGAATGAGGGAGACATGGGACCAAACACAGGGGGCATGGGAGTTGTCTGTCCCTACCCAAAGGTAAACTACCACAGGTGTGGTCTGTCCCTACCCAAAGGTAAACTACCACAGGTGTTGTCTGTCCCTACCCAAAGGTAAACTACCACAGGTGTGGTCTGTCCCTACCCAAAGGTAAACTACCACAGGTGTGGTCTGTCCCTACCCAAAGGTAAACTACCACAGGTGTTGTCTGTCCCTACCCAAAGGTAAACTACCACAGGTGTGGTCTGTCCCTACCCAAAGGTAAACTACCACAGGTGTGGTCTGTCCCTACCCAAAGGTAAACGACCACAGGTGTGGTCTGTCCCTACCCAAAGGTAAACGACCACAGATGTGATCTTCCCCTTCCCAAAGGTAAACTACCACAGGTTTGGTCTGTCCCTACCCAAAGGTAAACTATCACAGGTGTGGTCTGTGCCTACCCAAAGGTAAACTACCACAGGTGTTGTCTGTCCCTACCCAAAGGTAAACTACCACAGGTGTGGTCTGTCCCTACCCAAAGGTAAACTACCACAGGTGTGGTCTGTCCCTACCCAAAGGTAAACGACCACAGGTGTGGTCTGTCCCTACCCAAAGGTAAACGACCACAGGAGTTGTCTGCCCCTTCCCAAAGGTAAACCACCACAGGTGTGGTCTGTCCCTACCCAAAGGTAATCTACCACAGGTGTGGTCTGTCCCTACCCAAAGGTAAACGACCACAGGAGTTGTCTGTCCCTACTCAAAGGTAAACTACCACAGGAGTTGTCTGTCCCTACCCAAAGGTAAACGACCACAGGAGTTGTCTGTCCCTACCCAAAGGTAAACGACCACAGGAGTTGTCTGTCCCTACCCAAAGGTAAACGACCACAGGAGTTGTCTGTCCCTACCCAAAGGTAAACGACCACAGGAGTTGTCTGTCCCTACCCAAAGGTAAACGACCACAGGAGTTGTCTGTCCCTACCCAAAGGTAAACGACCACAGGAGTTGTCTGTCCCTACCCAAAGGTAAACTACCACAGGAGTTGTCTGTCCCTACCCAAAGGTAAACGACCACAGGAGTTGTCTGTCCCTACCCAAAGGTAAACGACCACAGGAGTTGTCTGTCCCTACCCAAAGGTAAACGACCACAGGAGTTGTCTGTCCCTACCCAAAGGTAAACGACCACAGGAGTTGTCTGTCCCTACCCAAAGGTAAACGACCACAGGAGTTGTCTGTCCCTACCCAAAGGTAAACGACCACAGGAGTTGTCTGTCCCTACCCAAAGGTAAACTACCACAGGAGTTGTCTGTCCCTACCCAAAGGTAAACTACCACAGGTGTGGTCTGTCCCTACCCAAAGGTAAACTACCACAGGTGTGGTCTGTCCCTACCCAAAGGTAAACGACCACAGGTGTTGTCTGTCCCTACCCAAAGGTAAACGACCACAGGAGTTGTCTGTCCCTACCCAAAGGTAAACGACCACAGGAGTTGTCTGTCCCTACCCAAAGGTAAACTACCACAGGAGTTGTCTGTCCCTACCCAAAGGTAAACTACCACAGGTGTGGTCTGTCCCTACCCAAAGGTAAACTACCACAGGTGTGGTCTCTCCCTACCCAAAGGTAAACGACCACAGGTGTGGTCTGTCCCTACCCAAAGGTAAACGACCACAGGAGTTGTCTGCCCCTTCCCAAAGGTAAACCACCACAGGTGTGGTCTGTCCCTACCCAAAGGTAAACGACCACAGGTGTGGTCTGTCCCTACCCAAAGGTAAACGACCACAGGAGTTGTCTGCCCCTTCCCAAAGGTAAACTACGGTCTACCACAGGTGTGGTCTGTCCCTACCCAAAGGTAAACGACCACAGGTGTTGTCTGTCCCTACTCAAAGGTAAACTACCACAGGAGTTGTCTGTCCCTACCCAAAGGTAAACGACCACAGGAGTTGTCTGTCCCTACCCAAAGGTAAACGACCACAGGAGTTGTCTGTCCCTACCCAAAGGTAAACGACCACAGGAGTTGTCTGTCCCTACCCAAAGGTAAACGACCACAGGAGTTGTCTGTCCCTACCCAAAGGTAAACGACCACAGGAGTTGTCTGTCCCTACCCAAAGGTAAACGACCACAGGAGTTGTCTGTCCCTACCCAAAGGTAAACTACCACAGGAGTTGTCTGTCCCTACCCAAAGGTAAACTACCACAGGTGTGGTCTGTCCCTACCCAAAGGTAAACTACCACAGGTGTGGTCTGTCCCTACCCAAAGGTAAACTACCACAGGTGTGGTCTGTCCCTACCCAAAGGTAAACTACCACAGGTGTGGTCTGTCCCTACCCAAAGGTAAACGACCACAGGTGTGGTCTGTCCCTACCCAAAGGTAAACGACCACAGATGTGATCTTCCCCTTCCCAAAGGTAAACTACCACAGGTTTGGTCTGTCCCTACCCAAAGGTAAACTATCACAGGTGTGGTCTGTGCCTACCCAAAGGTAAACTACCACAGGTGTTGTCTGTCCCTACCCAAAGGTAAACTACCACAGGTGTGGTCTGTCCCTACCCAAAGGTAAACTACAGCAGGAGTTGTCTGCCCCTTCCCAAAGGTAAACTACCACAGGAGTTGTCTGTCCCTACCCAAAGGTAAACTACCACAGGTTTGGTCTGTCCTTATCCAAAGGTAAACTACGGCATGAGTTGTCTGTCCCTACCCAAAGGTAAACTACAGCAGGAGTTGTCTATCCCTACCCAAAGGTAAACAACCAAAGGAGTTGTCTGCCCTTTCCCAAAGGTAAACTACCACAAGAGTTGTCTGTCCCAACCCAAAGGTAACCTACCTAAGGAGTTGTCTGCCCCTACCTAAAGGTAAACTACCACAGGAGTTGTCTGTCCCTCTCGAAAGGTTAACTTCATTATGTACCACAGGTGTGGTCTGTTACAGGTTTGCTTCACTAAAGAAGATGTATTGTTTTTGTGACTCGCCATTTTTAGCACACCTATTCGAAGAATAGGGGGGCGAATGTAGTCACCCTGGCGTCGGCGTCCCACCTTCCGAGGTTAAAGTTTTAGTGCAAGTTTTTCCAGACAGTGTTGGATCTTTTGAGTTTGTCATTTATATCGAGTGTAAGCAATGTGCTGGACCATATTTTCATATTTTATGGCCCAAAAACAGCTTAATTGGACTTAGTTAAATTTGTGGTTCAAGTTTTTGGGCAAGTTTTTTTGTGAAGTGTTTGACAACCACCATTAATACGCTGTTGTCTATTATAAGGTTAAAGCATTTATATGCAGTGTTAGCAATGTTCTGGGCAATATTTTCATATTTTATGGCCCAAAAACACCTTAAATTGGAATTGGTTTAATTTGAGGTTCAATTTTTTGTGCAAGTTTGGTTGGGTAGTGTTGAACCACCACCATCAATAGGCTGTTGTCTATGATAAGGTTGAAGTATTTGTATTGAGTGTAAGCAATGTGTTGAACCATATTTTCGTATTTTAGCGTCCAAAAACAGCTTTATTGGACTTTGTTAATTTCTTAACAATCACTTCACATAGATGTTTCTACACATTTAACAGTCCTTGAAATATCCTGGTGTTAAGTGAGGTGGCAAATAAAATGACAGGCACTATATCAACGTTTTACTATACATGTGTTTCTATTGATAGTTGCAGTATTATAATAACATACATAGGCGAGCTATGCTGTTCTTGCTCTTGTTGAGTATGGCAGTACATTTAGATAGTTATTAGGGTTGACCTAAAACTCAAACACCAAACACATAAGCGTTTAATATTAAAGGTGTCAAAGATAGAACTGGCCAAGATAAAGACGAACATACTACAGAAAGCAGTGGATGGAATGAGGGAACGAGGAACACCATACAAAGGTATAGGGTGTGGAGTAGGAGAATTAAAAATAAATTATTTAGAATCCAGTGTTTTTTACAACAGCCAGTTCCTTCATAAATTTGGAAAATATAGCAATATTGTTATTAGCTCACCGGGCCCGAAGGAGCTTATGCTGTACTGTGGCGTCCATCTTCCGTCGTCTGTCCATCAACTTTTTCTTTTGAACGACTTCTTCTAAAGAACTGGGACCTTAGGTCATGATATTTAGCCAGTAGGTACCTGGGATAGAGTGCTTTAAAGTTTCCTCATTAAAATGACCTTAAATATGGTAAAACTTTCAAACAACAAAATCTTAAGAACTGTTTGGTCCAGAGTCATGATACTTGGGTATGTTATGTAGACCAGCTGTGTGAATCGTTTCCTTTTTTAATACAGTAATGAGGTCAAATGTCAACTTTAAGTGCTAGTCAGGGGTCAAAGGTCAACATGGGTAAAAAGCTTTAAAATTACAATTTCAAATTTTAAACAACAATATCTTGAGAACTGTACTATTTTTGCATGAAGAATTATACTAGCCTGTATTTGACTCTAAAACTATAGACAAAAAACCACATTTTGACTGCTATCTGAAGGTATAGATTTAGAGTGAATTAACAGGGAACACAAAATTGACATAGGGTTGGAGTTAGTATACACAGAAAAGTATTTGCCTGTTGTATATATCTAATGCTAAATATTGTGAATATAGAACTATTCAATTTCATCTTCTTCCACAGGTGTGTTATATGCTGGTATAATGCTGACTTCAGAAGGTCCAAAGGTGCTCGAGTTTAACTGTAGGTTTGGGGATCCTGAGGCACAGGTCAGTGAACTCAAACTTTAGTGTTATAATCTAGATAATATGCACAGTGGAATATCAGTTGATTTAATAAATATTGACATCTCAATGACATTGTATGATGACAAGATTAGAGCTTAATGTTTATTCTTCCCATTTGTTACTAATAACTTCAGTATTAATGATTATAGCCTGGAGAAGAGTCTTCAGATCTCGGTAAAATTTATTGTCAAATCTTATGTTAACCTTTAATACTGTTCTGTATTCCATTGTGGTTTCTGTTTCTATAACAACTGGTATGTTGCCTAGGCAATCCTGTCCCTGATGACCTCTGACCTGTTTGACACCTGTCTGGCTTGCACAAACAGCAGCTTGAGCGAACACTGTCCAGTGTTTGACGGTCAAAGCTGTGTGACTGGAATTGTAGTGGCCAGTGGAGGCTATCCAGGATCCTATAGGAAAAGGCTGACCATCACAGGTGTAATGTTGCTTATTTTAAAGATCATTAGTGACCTCCGAAAAATGTATCTCAAACCAATCTTATTTTATTTTTATTTTGTATATTTAATGGATTACCAGGATTATTTTGGGGGTTTAAGTGTAAATGCCAAAAAACTGTGTCGACTTTATATAATTATCCACACAATGGTTTATATATGAAAGTGCACACAGTTGTTAACGTAGATTCTGTTTAATCCCGAAAATAATCATGTTTACCCCCTTATAATTGATTCAAAACAGGACTGGACCGAGCTGAATCACACGGCCTAACAGTGTTTCATGCTGGGACTGCTAGAGAGGAGGACAGGGTGGTAACCAATGGTGGCCGTGTCCTGGTTGTCATGGCAACCAGTCATAACTTTCGTACTGCTTGTAACCTGGCCACTCGAGGTGCCGCGCTGGTGAAGTTTGATGCGGCATACTTCAGGAGGGACATCGGGACCAAGGTGTATTCAAGGTCAGCATGATATCATCTAATTACTGGAAGACTGTTTCATGCCCAGGGGTATAGGATAGAGAAATTCCACAGAGGAGTTTACAAATTGGGTGAAACTTGAGGCATGTCAAAGGTTTTTTACCAATTTGTAAATCTAGTGGGTGGAATTTCCTCATCCTACACCACTGAAACATGCGAGAGCATTTTTCTCTTATAACAATCACCAGACTTACAATCTCTCAGAAACTACACAATTATGTCAGAGTTTCTTGCATCCAAACATTGGAATTTTCCCAATTTTGTTATGTCATGGGTTTTTTCTCCCACTGTGACATCATGCATGTGAAATTAGGTGTAAGATAGAAGTGTCATGCACCCTTTTCTTACCCTAGATAGTCAGTCATATAACACAGGAATGTGAGAATAAGGCTTTATCCAGTGTTTGATGGATAGCATACCAATAATGATAACAAAAGCTTAGATGGAAAAGATTTGTTTAGAAGTTCACCATTGAGGTTAGTTACATTTTCCTAAAGTTTTTAAGCTCTTGATACAAACTCTATTTTGATACAAGATTTAGAAGTGGGATATCTGATAAAATGTTCAACCAGTCAAATGTTTTTTTTTGTAACCAAATTTGAATATCTTTGTTTTATCAGTTGTTCCCCAGAAGAGCTAGGGCTGACTTACAAAGATTCAGGTGTAGATATTACAGCAGGCAACTGTCTTGTTGAGGCCATCAAACCGTTGGCAGCCATAACAAGTCGGGCTGGCTCCACAGTAAAACTCGGAGGGTTTGGGGCACTTTTTGATGTGAAGGAGGCAGGATACACAGATCCTCTACTGGTTGCTGGCACAGATGGTGTTGGCACAAAACTCAAGGTCAGTTGTAGGTCAAAGTCTGTAACCTTCAAGGTTATTGACACTTTAAGGTCAGTGGAAAGTCAAGGTCACTAATTCTTCAACGTCAGTTCCAAGTAAAGAAACCTGTCAATTTTTTTCACATTTCAGTGGTGAGTTTATGATAAAATGATGTGTATTCGTGCCAATTTCGTTATTTGGACATCTGCTTTTTTCTGTAGCAGGGAGGTAAAACATATAAAGCACAGTATGGATTTGCAAAGGTATCCAAATTTATTCTTTGATTTGCAGTTATCTTTCACTTTGTTGACAAGGAAATGGTTACCTTTACACAACTTAAATTGACTTGTGACATTTCACTTTATAGGTTGCCCAGGAGACTGGTTGTCACACTACCATTGGGATTGACTTGGTTGCTATGTGTGTCAATGATATTTTGGCGCAGGGGGCGGAGCCACTATTTTTCCTTGACTACTTTGCCACGGGACGACTCAATGTTTCTAGTGCGAAGGATGTGGTAGCTGGAATTGCCAAGGGCTGTGTGGAAGCTGGTTGTGCTCTAATAGGTAGGTTAAACTGTATGTAAATAGAATTTTTTGTTGAATGATTACACAGTAGGTATCATTAATAAAGTTATATTCAGATCCAAAGTGGTAGTCAGCATTTTCACTACAAATTCTAGATATTTAATTGATTTGTCATTTATATTAATACACCAAGTGTGTTATTGTCAAAATCAGGTAAAAGTGGAGTTTCTCCCCGATTTGGAGCTGGTACCAAGAACATTTTCCAATCAATATAAAGATCCTAGAAAGGCCTCTGGTATAGAATGAGGGTTAATTTATACAAGTATGTATGAAGCATCTTCGATACTCCTCGGATTACCCTCACCTAAGATCTCTGCACCCCTGGAATATGTCAGCAAAATTGAAGGCTCAGTGTGCGCCACATTGTGGGTGAGAAGAAGGAGACTGACTATATATAGCTAGTTCCATCCTTTGATGTACACCAAACGAATCCGGTGTGCGAGTAACAGTAAAATTGAATGGCTTTGAAGTCGGTGGTCGCTCCTCTATAATGCTCAAAGAACAAGTATCAGCCTAGCGATTGGTCAGGTTTTTTTCAGCAGAAACCTATCAAATAGCTAGGTGTGTACCTTCAATGCCTTCAATGCTATGACGTATTCTAGGGGTGCAGAGAGCGTAAGTGAGCGTAATCCCTGGAGTATTGGGGTTGTATATATGTAGTCAGTCCTAATCAATTGGTCAGATTACAAAGCTTTATATAGCAGCCTAACTAATTTGTCAGACTGAACAGGTTTAAAGCAAAGACTAATTAATTTGTTATTTAAAGTTATACTGGTTTTAATTTTCGCTGATTGTATCTCTAGGAGGAGAAACAGCAGAGATGCCGGGGATGTACCAAGAGGGAAACTATGATGTAGCGGGTTTTGCAGTTGGTGCTGTAGAGCGAACAAGTGTCTTGCCACGTCTAAATGAAATATCATCAGGAGATGTACTGATTGGTCTGAAATCGAGCGGTATCCATAGCAACGGTTTCAGCCTCGTAAGGAAAGTGATAGAGAACCTTGGAATCTCTCTGGACATGCCTTCTCCGTTTGTATCGGGGAGGACTCTTGGTATGTATAGTACTCTTTTTACACAGGATCTTTGATGAAAGCAATTTTGAAATAACAAATGAGTTAGGTTCAGTATTCATTGCTTAAGAGCATGATAATAAGCATGCAATTTTACCCACAGATTTTAATATATTAATGATTTACTTATTTTACACTTGTCAGCATTTTAACAAGTGAGCCATGTACAATTGTCTTATAATCCCCCTAATTGAATAAACTACAATCTTTTTTAGGAGAAGAGTTGCTGACCCCGACTAAGATCTATGTGAGGGATGTACTGCCCCTGATGCAAGTGGGTCTAGTGAAAGCCTTTGCCCACATCACTGGTGGGGGACTGACTGAAAACATCCCAAGGGTGTTACCTAACGATCTTTGCGTGACAATTGATGCACTCAAATGGCACATTCCACCCATGTTTGGATGGATAGCAGACAAGGTCAGTTATTATTCCCAAGGACATAACTCTTCAACAAAAAATGGGTGATTATGCAAGTGGGCATTATTCAAGGCCAGAGAAAGAAAACTAGACCAGGTCAGTTATATTCTACTCACATTTTGCTAAGGCTCATCCATATTTTGAAAAAAAAAATCAAAATGTTAGAAAGGATATTATATTTTCCTTCCGTACTGTTTTGGGCGAATTTGTTAGCCTTCCAAATCGTCCTGTGTGGGTGTGTTCAGTCCACCATAAAGCATGTGCACGCTTTTCCACGTGTACACCCCTTTCAAAAGCTAAGCTAGGCTAAGTAAGGCGTTGTTCAAATTGTTAAGGAAATTAATTTGATGAATATTCTTTGCATATTTTTGTTTTGATATGGCACAAAGACGAACCAACGATTAAATGATGGTAAAATGAATAAGGGCATCGGAATGCTGCAAGCTAGCATGTCTCAATGTCAGGTTGCAGCAGACCTTGGGGTGTCTCAAAGTGTGGTGGCAAGAATGTGGAATTGTTTCAAAACTAACAGAAACCCTTCCAGACGTCATGCTGGAGGTCATTCTAGGGCCACAATGCAGCATTGCAAAGACCGATTTTTCGCTCATACAGGCACGGCGTCACAGGTTCCAGACTACCACAGCTTTACGAAATTACCTCCTAAATGCTTCTGGTACCCGGGTAGCCACTCAGACAGTTAGGAATCATCTTCATGGTGCTGGTTTAAGGTCACGTAGACCAGCAATACGAGTTCCCTTAACTGCCCGCCATGTTAGGGACCGATTAGATTGGGCCCAAGCTCACAGCACTTGGACTCTTCAGGAATGGGAACCGGTTTGTTTTATTGACGAGTCCAGACTCTGTCTCGACTTCACCGACAGGCGCGTTAGAGTATGGAGACAACCTGGGGAGAGGTTTCAGGCAGGTAACGTTGTCGAACATGACCGATATGGCGGGGTTCAGTGATGGTGTGGAGAGACATATCAGCCTTCATGGGAAAAATGACCTCCATGTCTTCAATAATGGTATTGTTACGGCCTGGATTTACAGCGATAAAGTCCTTGATGCCTATGTCAGACCCTACGATGGCACTATCGGCCCTGACTTCATCCTTATGGACAATAATGCTAGGTCACATAGAGCAAGGGTGACTGAGCAGTATTTACAGCAAGAGACTATTCAACGAATGGATTGGCCAGCCCGCTCGCCTATCGAGCACATGTGAGACATGCTGCAGACAGCTCTCTCTGCCAGAAATGTTCAGCCTAGAACGCTCCAGGAGCTGGGAACAGCTTTGGTAGCTGAGTGGGGCAATCCCACAAAACCAGACATGCGATCTCATTCGGGGCATGCGCAGACGTTGTGAACTGTTATTGATGCTCATGGGCGTCGCACTCAATACTAAAACAGTTCCTGTTTATTTAGGATGAGTTTGTTCAATTTAAGTTTTTTAGTGAATACTTCGTTGTTACCAATTTTAGGGTAACCCTTTTCCCCTGGCTCATTTTCTGACTGTAACTACGATTTGTTGAAATTTTGCATGCTGATGAATTTAAAAAACAATCAATTTTTCAAAAATAATCTCAGTATGAATGAACCAAATAAAATATTTATTTTCACATATGTCCAAAAATAAAAGTGATCCTTAGCACAATGTGAGTAGTATATAATCTGGAGTATAAAACTCTTAACACCAGTTGGTCAGACTACACAGAGGGACATAGTTCAAGTTCAGTTAAAGATTACTCTTGACCCTAGGTTAACAATGATTGAATACACAGGGAAGTAACTGAAGGTAAATGGGAGAAGGCTCAACATGGCAGTGTGATATTTGTGATTAGGGGGACATATAGTTCAAAGTAAGGAAGAGAAAACCTAGACAGGAGATGTGACAATATTTGATCATTAAGGGTACATACTTTATAGTCAAGGAGAGACACCTATATCATAATATGACACAATGTGACATTTATTAAGTGTTTGTGATAACTAAGGAAGAATTCATCGAAGGCTGGAGTAAAATACCTCCGGGCAAGGGGATGCAGCAATATTTAATTACTCAAGGTGACATCATTAAGGTCAGACTCAGATGAAACTCTTAGACAAGGGATCAATTCAATGTCAGGGGAGATTACAAGTTAAGAGATGATTGTGTTGTCATTGTTTTCCAGGGTAATGTGTCTGAGAAAGAAATGGCAAAGACATTTAACTGTGGTGTAGGGGCAGTGTTGATAGTGGACAAGACTCAAGTTGATACGGTTGTGGAGCGACTAGGAGACCAGGCATCTGTCATAGGCTGTGTGCAGGAATGTAAAGGTATGTTGCTGAATTGATGAAGTTGAATTCAATCAGTAATGGATAATTCACTGTTTAATGAATATGTTGTTATCTTGCGAAATGCATTTTGAACATATGTATGGCAAGCAATCATTCGGAGCAAACACATGGCCTATTAATCTATCTGTTGGTTTACTACATGTATAATGTTAATTTCAAAACTGCATTATTATATGCATGTATATTAGCAATGATATCATAAAACATTTTATTTTTTTCACAAAACATAACATTAAAAATTGATTTTAGTGAAACATATAATTATAAAATTTAAAGTAATTGTTTTGTTGGTGGCTAAACGATTTTTGTACTTATTTATAGGAGATGTTAGAGTTAAGATAGAAAATTTGAAAAAGAGTTTCAAACAGAGCTGGAAACCGGTGACCGCTCCCAGGATTTGTATGAAAGTCGGAGTGCTTATCTCTGGGTCAGGTAAGTATAGAGATAAAGTAATTCAAGCAAGTCAAACAGAGTTAACTCCCTTTAAGCTGAGTAACTACTTCTCCAGCTCTGATGTATTCCACATTGTTGTTTTTGCTGTCAGTTATATCAGGATACATGTTAATGTATATTTACATTCGCGCTGCAACCACACTATATGAACCATATCAGCAGAAATGCATATCATTCGAGTATGAAAGCAGAAACTTGCTTGACGAAACAGGTGGTTTAAATTACTTATGACATCATAGATTAACCTTGTTCAATGAGAGTCTTGTCGCTTCGCTTCGTATAACATGGAGAATACCCCTGCGTCAAACACTCAAATGACTACGGTTAATTATTGGCGCCAAATTTAGTTAATTAGGGCTGTTCCGCCAATGTTGTTTAAAGGACAACGCATATACAAAACTCAGTAACTAATTATAATTATTTAAGAACAAATAGATCAAGTTAAACAATTTTTCTATTGTAAAAATGTAAATATAGGGATTGAGCAGCGGTTTTTTAATTTTCATGCGGCATGAACGCGAATCTGTAGGCATGAAAATTCAAAAAACACCGTTCAATCCCTATATGCATTTTGAAAATGCTACCTTTTGATCGTGTCATAGTTTGTATGGCTGCTAAATTACACACTTCATTTATTAAAGTAGGGAAACCTCACAAAGTCATAGGTTGTGTAGTATTCTGACAAATCACAATAGCTTATGTTGAATGATACCTGACCACATTACAGTTTCTGTGGCAAGGAAATAATTAACTTATTGTAACATCCTAATATATTTAAAAGGAACAAATCTGCAGGCTTTGATAGACCACACACTGGAACAGAACAACAACAGTTGTGCAGAGATTGTACTAGTCATTTCTAACAAGCCTGGTGTCCAAGGACTGGAAAAGGCTCAGCTGGCAGGGATACCTACACAGGTAAAACATACAAATAGATAATATTTACCGACAGGTAAATGATACCCACATTTAATATATACCTACACTGGTAAAACACACACACAGGTAATTTATACCTACAGGTAAATGATACCCACATTTAATATATACCTACACAGGTAAAACATACAAATAGGTAATATTTACCTACAGGTAAATGATACCCAGATTTAATATATACCTACACAGGTAAAACACACAAATAGATGATATTTACCTACAGGTAAATGATACCCACATTTAATATATACCTACACAGGTAAAACATACAAATAGGTAATATTTACCTACAGGTAAATGATACCCACATTTAATATATACCTACACTGGTAAAACACACACACAGGTAATATTTACCTACAGGTAAATGACACCCACATTTAATATATACCTACACAGGTAAAACATACAAATAGGTAATATTTACCTACAGGTAAATGATACCCATATGTAATTTATACCTACACAAGTAAAAACACACATAGGTAATTTATACCTTCATTGGTAAAACACACACACAGGTAATTTATACCTACACAAGTAAAAAACACACACAGGGAATATATACCTTAATAGGTTAAACATACACACAGGTAATATTTTCCTACAAAGGTAAAACATACACACAGGTAATATAAACCTAAAAAGGTAAAACATACACACAGGTAATATATACCTACACAGGTAAAACATACACACAGGTAATGTATACCTACTCAGGTGAAACATACACACAGGTAATATATACCTACTCAGGTAAAACATACACACAAGTAATATATACCTACACAGGTAAAACATACCCAAAGGTAATATTTTCCTACAAAGGTGAAACATACACACAGTTAATATAAACCTACACAGGTAAAACATACACACAGGTAATATTTTCCTATACTGGTAAAACATACACACAGGAAATATTTTCCTACACAGATAAAACATACACACAGGGAATATTTTCCTACAGAGGTAAAACATACACACAGGATATATAAACATACACAGGTAAAGCATACACACCGGTAATATTATCCTACAAAGGTAAAACATACACACAGGTAATATAAACCTACGCAGGTAAAACATACACACAGGTGATATAAACATACACAGGTAAAACATACACACAGGTGATATAAGCCTACTTAGGTAAAACATACACACAGGTAATATAAACATACACAGGTAAAACATACACACTGGTAATATTATCCTACAAAGGTAAAACATACACACATGTAATATAAACCTACACAGGTAAAACATACACACAGGTAATATAAACATGCACACAGGTAATATAAGCCTACACAAGTTAAACATACACATCAACACGCACATGCACGTCTCGCCGATAATCGCGACCCTCTCGCTCCTAACAACGCCTTTCCTCCAGGACACGTGATTGACACCCTCCCATCAGATCCCCAACCCGACACTCAGGCTCAACGAGAGACTGTCCTATAGGACAATACATCGGACACCTCAAACTTTGTACCAGATATGTCCAATGAACTTCAGTTTGGCTTCCTAAATGTATGTGGAATAATAGCTAAATTACTTGATCCCGAATTCCAAAACCTAATCATTAATTACGATGTTTTAATTTGTGCGGTAACAAAAATTGATGAATATGATGAGCTGAATCTACCAAATGGTTATGCATCCTTTTCAAAATACAGAACTAAATTTAAACGTAAATCTGGAGGTATAACTGTTATCTTTAAGAATTGCTTATCCAATTACGTACGTTTTCATAAAACACAGTCTGAATATGTTCTGTGGCTTGAAATATCTAAAGACCTGTCTCTCCTAAATGAGAATATACTTATAGGTTGTGTATATATCCCTCCTGAGAATTCAAAGTATTCCTCGGACAGCGCATTCACAGAAATTGAGGATGAGTTGATTATGTTATCACATGAAAATAAAAAAATCATGCTTGTGGGCGATTTTTATTCAAGAACTTCTGAAGTTGTAGATTATATTGAACCCGATGAAAATGTATATGACATTTTAGACATTGCTGAAAACAATTTGATTATCGACAACATGTTTTCTTTCCAGCGATTAGTTCAACATGATATCCCCCTCCCAAGATTTTCCCAAGATAAAGGACGTATTAAAAACTATGGGTCAGAACTAATCGAAATGTGCAAACAATGCTCTTTATTTATTGCAAATGGACGAGTTTCTTGTGATAAGTATATAGGGAGAACTACCTGTAAAGATTCTAGTGTTGTCGATTACCTTATATTGACTGTTGATTTGTTCCCGTTAATAACATATTTTGAAGTTAATGATTTTAACCCACTCTTTTCAGACGTGCATAATCTAATAAATTTCTTGTGTATGTTTCTGGGGGAAAAAAATATTCACGAAAAAGAAAGTCTTTCAGACGGAGACTATATCAGATGGGATTACATGAAATCGGCAAATTTTTCACAAGAAGTGAAAAACAACTTACATAGTATTAATATAAATCTTAATAATGTTTTACTTAGTGATACTATCCCCAAAGAACAGGTAAATGGTCTAGTGACCGACATATCTACTGTGTTAACAAATAGCGCCACTAATACAATAGGTGTGTCGCACCGTCGTAAAAATTAAGTACAAAAATGTAAATGATTTAACCACGATTGTAAACTTGGTAGAAACGCCTTTAATAAATATAAAATTAGATATAAATTTAACAAGTAAACGGAAACTAAGCACACGATGAATAAAAAAGGGAGAGAATACAGAAAACAACTAAGGAAAAATTACAAAAAATATCAAGAGAAATGCACAAAAGAATTAAGAGAGAATTCCAAACGAGACCCTAAAGCATTCTGGAAAACACTTAATTAATTTTCACAAAATAAAAATACTACACCAGACATACCTATTGACGTCTATATGACTATTTTAAGAAACTTATTACTTAATTCACTCGAAGAGGACAGTAATAATGACGAGGTTGATAACGACAGTTTTGATAATGATGATGACGTCAACAATACATTGAATGGACCAATTACTGAATCAGAAATACAAAAAGCTATAAAATCATTAAAAAATAATAAAGCGTCCGGCCCGGACCGCGTTTTAAATGAATATCTGAAAAATTCCCCACCAGATATGACAACAGTCTATTGTAAATTGTTCAATATAATATTAGACACGGGAATTATTCCGGAAAGTTGGAGTGTCGGTATTATCAAACCAATATACAAAAATAAGGGAAGTCCAGAAGACCCTGATAATTATAGAGCTATCACTTTAATTAGTTGTCTTGGTAAACTATTTACTTCAATTATCAATACCTGTCTTAATGAATATGAAAAACAAATCAATTTAATATCTCGAAGTCAGGCAGGGTTCAGAAAAGGTCATTCAACTATAGACAACGTTTTTATTATACATATTCTCATTTCTATATACTGGTATCTTTCAAGTGGCAAAAAGCTATACTGTACCATACCGTCTGGAGAGCAGGTCTGTGGCAAAAATTATATAGCAGCAATATAAACGGGAAATGTTTCAAAGTTATCTATAACATGTATAATAATATTAAATCCTGTGTTCAATTCAACTCGAAAACGTCAGATTTTTTCCCTTGCTTGATCGGGGTTAAACAAGGGGAAAATGTATCCCCCTTTCTTTTTTCAGTAATAATTTCTTAATGACATTGAAAGGTATTTTGCTTCTTTAAGTTGTGTGCCACTCGAAATTGTACGGGATAAGCTGTAAAATGAACTTCATATTTTTGTAGAATTTTTTGTACTCCTATACGCTGATGACAGTGTCCTATTTTCAGAAAGTCCAGAGGGACTGCAGAGGGCTTTGAATGTATTCCAGCAATATTGTAAGATTTGGAAGCTTAATATAAATGTAAATAAAACAAAAGTCATGGTTTTTCTCAAGAGGAAAAGTAAACAACAACATGTATTTGTATTACAAAATGAAATTTTAGAAATTGTAGATAATTTTACTTACTTAGGAATAGCATTTAATTAAAATGGCAGTTTTGTAAACGCAAACCGCAGATTGATCAACCAGGCCCAAAAGTCAATATTTGCTATATACAAAAAAATCAGGAACCTTTCTCTTCCTATAGATTTACAATTAAAACTATTTGATTCTTTAGTGGAACCGATTCTATTGTATGGATCGGATGTATGGGGATTCGAAAACCTGAAAATAATCGAACAGATTCATCTTAAATTTTGTAAAAGTTTATGATTTATGGCGAGCTAGGTCGTGTGCCATTGGAAATAAATGTTAAACTAAGAATGTTAGGTTTTTGGAAAAGAATAATTAGTAATGAAAACAAACTCAGCAGCATATTACTACGACTGGCTTTACATATGCAAAACGATGATGCTCTTCCGTTCAAATGGATTAACTATATAAAAGGTATTTTCAATGAAACGGGATTTTCTTACATGTTTGATAATAAATTTACAAATGCATTTTAAAACAACGGCTTAACGATCACTTTGTACAGCAATGGTTCGATGACATTACTAGCTCATCTCGTGGGCAGTTCTACACTCTATTTAAAACGGAATTTGGTCTAGAAAAATATTCATTAAATCTGCCAGAACATATCAGAACACCAATAACAAAACTACACACTTCGAATTTGAAGTTTCCAATTGAAACAGGTAGATGGTATAACATACCCTGAGATAATCGACTATGTAATTTGTGCACGGAAAGTGTCGGGGATGAATTTCATTATCTATTTGAATGCAATAATATAACTATATCCACCTTACGTAACAAATATATTCCTCGTTATTATTGCACAAACCCAAATATTTATAAGTTTAAAGGTCTTTTATCATTATGCGATCAACAAGTTCTGACAGGTTTATCTATTTTCCTAACCAAAATGGCTCCTCTTTTGTAAATGATGCATATGTATAACTGTTAATAGTTAAATAACTTGGGAATTATATGTATGGTTGTTTTTTATGTTTGCTTTGTATTTTCCATTGTATGTCATATCGTGTTACTATACCGTACGGTTCTAAATTGAACTGTCCATTCTTTCAGTTATACATGTGTATACAAATATGTATATTGTACTTCATTTTCCATATAGATCTGCTACTTTATTTCCTCATGTAACACATATTATGTGTCTGAGTGTCAATGCAATCTTGCTTGTACACATGCATGCACCTGTCCATCCTGTCAAATTTAATATATGAATTCATGTACATGTACCTCATGTTACACATTTCCATGTGTCTGAGTGTTGGAAATATAATCTGAAATCTGAAATCTGGTAATATATACCTACACTGGTAAAACATACACACAGGTAATATAAACCTACAATGTATTCAGGTAATACATACACACAGGTTATATTTTCCTACACATGCAAAACATACACACAGGTAATATATACCTACTCTGGTAAAACATACACACAGGTAATATATACCTACACAGGTAAAACATACACACAGGTAATATATACCTACTCAGGTAAAACATACACACAGGTAATATAAACATACACAGGTAAAACATACACAGCGGTAATATTTTCCTATACTGGTAAAACATACACACAGGTAATATTTTCCTACACAGATAAACATACACACAGGTAATATAAACATACACAGGTAAAACATACACACAGGTAATCCTAGCACATGACATACTTATTTTTGCAGAGAGCAAGATTGATAATCTGGATCATTTACAACTACCGCCTGACTATGAATATTTTGCGAAATGTAGAACTAATGCATATAAAAAATCTGGTGGTATAGTAATTATTTTTAAGAAAACTCTCAAGTCGATGTTGACTTTTCCTAAAACTTTATCAGAATATGTATTGTGGGTAAATTTTTCAAAACACGTTGTGAACTCTGATCTAGATTTTCTACTGGGATGTGTTTATATACCTCCCGAAAATACTAAGTATGCATCCCCGGAAGCGTTCAATGAAATTGAAAGGGAGATGATAGAATTATCCCATCATGGTAACAAAGTCGCCATAGTCGGAGATTTTAATGCTAAAACCCAAGTTAGAGATGATTTTGTAGAACCAGATGATAACTTCATTCGTTCATTAAACTTAGATGAAAATGATGAGCTATACTCATATCTCTATGATATTGAAAAGTTGAAATTATATAATGTTCCTCTGCGAAGGGCTAGTCAATGTAAAGCTAAAGTTAATAATTATGGCAATAAATTGCTTGACTTCTGCAAGCAAAATAATATGTATATTGCCAATGGTCGGATTGGAAATGATGCACAAATAGGTAAAACTACATGTAGTGATGTCAGCGTTATAGATTATCTATTGCTGTCGTCAGATATGTTTCGGTATACAACAGATTTTGAAATCAAAGTTTTTGACCCACTCATATCAGATGTCCACTGTAGACTTGTATTTAGCCTTTGTAAATTAACTGATGAATGTATATATAATACCGAATGTCATGAAAATCGATATACAAAGTGGAAATCCTGTAAAGAACAAGATTTTGTAAAACATATACTAGATGATGAAAGAGGTAATCTCCATAGAATTAATGATAAATTAAATGAATTATTAAATAAACAACACGACAATGTAACCAATAACGAAATTAATGACATTGTAAACTCAATTAGTGAATTGTTCAAAGGCTCTGCTAAGCAGGTTTTTGGTAGTAACAATGCTTACAGGAAACGGAGGTTGAGATGTGATAATAAACCTTGGTTTAATAGGGAATGCCACTTAAACAGAGTTGAATTTAATAAAGCCAAGGCCTTATTTCACAAAGTAAATAATCCTATAAATAAAACTAATCTCAATAGAGCTAGTAAAGTTTATAGAAAAACATTGAATAAAAATTACAGAAATTATCAGGAGAAATTGTCAAGCGAGTTAAGAAATACTGCTAGAATGGATTCAAAAAAATTCTGGAATATTTTGAATAAATGTGACGGATCTGTAAAGAAAGGTAATGCTGATATATGTATTACTGAATTATATGAATACTTTAAGGATCTGAACAAGTCTGTTTATGATGATGACGATTTTGAGCTGGAAAATCCTGATAATAGTATTTTTGATGATTATCTGAATGGTGAAATTACCACTGATGAAATTAAATTTTCTTTAATCAATTTGAAGAATAGTAAAGCCTCTGGTATAGATCAAATCCTAAATGAATATCTAAAAAGTACAATGGATGTATTTTTACCAATTTATCAAAAAATATTTAACCTTATTCTGAATACTGCGTCTATACCAGATGTGTGGAAGATCGGTATTATAAAACCAGTATATAAAAACAAAGGCGATCCAAAAGATCCGGATAATTATAGAGCGATCACTTTAGTCTCGTGCCTTGGCAAAGTTTTCACTTCGGTTATTAATAATCGTTTAAATAAAATTTCTGACGAATTTGACCTGATAAGCAGTGCACAAGCTGGGTTTAGAAAGGGTCATTCTACAACCGATAACATGTTTGTATTGTATTCTTTAATCTCAATATATTTTTCATTAGGAAAAAAACTTTATTGTACGTTCATCGATTTTAGTAAGGCGTTCGATTCTGTATGGAGAGTTGGTCTGTGGAAAAAGCTCCAAAAAAGCAACATTACTGGAAAAATTTTCAATATTATTTATAAGCTATATGATAAAACCAAATCATGTGTTAAAAATGGATGTGAACAGTCGGATTTGTTCAATTGTGAGATCGGTTTAAAACAGGGCGAAAATTTATCGCCATTTTTGTTTGCAATTTATTTAAATGATTTAGAAACTTATCTTGTTGAAAAAAATGTAAATTGTCTTCAAACAATAGACAAATTATGTATTGATAACATTGGAGTGTATCTCAAACTATTCATTATCTTATATGCCGATGATACTGTCCTGTTTTCAGAAACACCAGATGGTTTACAGTTAGCTTTAAATGAATTTGAACAATACTGTAATACTTGGAAGTTAACTATCAATTCAGGAAAAACTAAAATTGTCATCTTTTCAAAAAGAAAATGTGCAAGAACTCCCCATTTTACATTATGTAACGTAGAATTAGAAATACTGGAAGGGTATACCTATCTAGGATTATTCTTTAATTTTAGTTGTAGCTTCTTTAAAGCAAGGAAAAAAATTGTTGAACAAGCACAGAAATCAGTGTTTGCTGTCTATAAGAAATTGAGAAACATATCTTTACCAGTTGATCTACAATTGAAGATATTTGATTCATTAATTATGCCAGTTCTTCTCTATTCATCAGAAATATGGGGTTTTGAAAACACAAATATTATAGAAAAAATCCATCTTCAATTTTGTAAATATATACTAAATGTAAGAAAAAGTACACCAAATTTCATTGTTTATGGTGAGCTTGGAAGATACCCACTAGACATCGAAATTAAATGTAGAATAATAGTATTCTGGCATAAGTTGATTACCTCTAGTAAGTTATCAAGTACTATTTATAAGCTTATGTATACATTACATGAAAATGGAACTATGTTATTTAAATGGCTCGCATATGTTAAAGATATTTTTTCTCAAACTGGCCTGAACTATGTGTGGTACTATCAATCTACATGTTCTTTTTCAAAAGACGAAATTAAGAGGCTTGTGAAAAGTAGACTGAAGGATCAATTTATACAGAAATGGTTTGATAATATTCTTAACTCCTCTAGAGGACAAACATATTCAATATTAAAGACAAAGTTTGAACAAGAAAAATATTTAATTAAACTTAATACAAATGATAGGAAAATAATGTGTAAATTCCGTTCTTGCAATATGCATTTACCCATAGAAAAAGGAAGATGGTTAGGTATTCCTCGTCAAGAAAGAACCTGTACATTATGTAATTTGTACATTGGAGATGAATTTCATTACTTATTTATATGTGAAAGTGTTTTAGTTAAATGTCTAAGAGAGAAATATATACCAAAATATTATTTCACTTATCCAAGTCAATTAAAAATGCAAGGATTGTTTAATATATTTAATGTAAAAATTTACACAAAACTTTGTAAATTCATAGAAAAGCTTGAAAAAATATTAACTTAATTTCTGTACTATTTGTGTACTTCTATATGTATCTATGCTATGTACAATGTTGTAATTGTGTACATCACACGCCATGTATCATACTTACTATATGTATGTGACCTCTTGTTACACACGTAAGTGTGTCGGAGTGAATAAATAAAACTTAGTATGTGCCTTAGTATGGTAATATTATCCTACAAAGGTAAAACATACACACATGTAATATAAACATGCACACAGGTAATATATACCTACACGGGTAAAACATACACACAGGTAATATAAGCCTACACAGGTAAAACATACACACAGGTAATATAAGTCTACAAAGGCAATTTACAAGCACACACAGGCAATATGTTCAGTTCCCATTGAAAGGATTACATACAATTAACATATTAAGGAGGACAATGCTTTTTTGGGGGAATTTTATATATATCCAAAAGGTCAGGGTTGAGGACATTGAGAGACCTGTCATTATGGAAGGTACATATGTAAAATCATGTAGGAAGGGATGCAGTGAAAACAATTTCTTGAAGTGCTACCAGAACATTTCTTATTATCTTTAAAACTACTGGATTATATGTGAATACATTTTATTTTGAATTAGAACATAACTGATCTTTAATGTCATTTAAGTCAGATTGTATACTTGGTACCAGTACATTGTATGTGTTACAGGTTATCAACCACAAAGATTTTGGAAGTCGTCAGAGCTTTGATGAGGCAGTCCACAAATCACTAGTGACAGCCGGTGTCGACATCGTGTGTCTGGCTGGCTTCATGAGAATTCTAACAGGTATCGCATACATAATGACACTAAAATAATAATATACAATATTTATATAGCACCCTATATAATTTGTAAAATTACTCTAAGGCACTTTACAACACATAAAGGTATTCCTACAGTGACCGTTATAGATATAGTAGATAAAAAGGCGTACAAATCAGCACTATACATGAATGAATATATAAAGAGTGGTGTGTACATGACGTCTGAGCAAGGTGCCTAAAATGCAGATGTCATGAGGTGGGTCTTTATATCCTTCTTGATAAACACATCCCACAAGTAAATGAGAACTGATAAAAAGGTTAGATATATGTGTATGCTTCCTTACAAACAATACCTATGATAGTTCAAGTCTTTAGCTTTCATTAAGCATTTAATACCTGATCAAAGAAAATTATCTAAAAGATACGTTATTTCTTTTGTACTTGGGTTGTAGAAGGGAATTTATTGGATTTTTGTGTGAAAGAAAATTATTGTAAAGAGTGGAATATTGTATATATTGTATAGCGCTTATGTTTGTATTGTGAACATTTCTTTGTGTGATCTAGGTGTATACACTTTTTTTGTAAAACTCTTTTAGAGAGACAGAGAATTTGCAGGGTTTATATTCTACCTTAAATAAAATTAATGAAAGAACAGTATCTTAAATCTTCTACCTTTACTTGACTATCTTATCTACCTTTCACTGACTAAATTTTGCCAAAAATGATTGTGTAAAGACAGAATATCTTCGCTAGCCAAGTTTTCGCTTCTTATCCACTCCATTTACCCTTGGCCGATATAGCCATGTTTTCATAATTCCCTCCACTGCCACCTAGCGGATATACCGAGTTATCATTGTTCTCCGAATAAACTTTTAATCAATCAGAATGACTGTTTCATACACACTCCATCGGCGTGTTGACATAAGCACGTGTATGTCGAGGCAGAGTATAAGTGACAGAGCAATATGGAAACAATCCAAAGGCAGCACACGTATTTTCCCATGTCATCATTTACATGTGGCACGTAGTCAAGGATTTCCACCAACTGATTTAACACTCCAGAAGTTTCCCAAAAGATCGAGCGCCTATTTTTTTGGGGCAAAACACTCTGACATAAACGACAACGTGCTTCTGTACAGGGCGTCGCCATTACTGTTTTCCTTCGTCAACAGCGCTATATGTAAGATGCGATTTTATTGGATGCGAGCGATTGGCACCGCACGAAAATGTGTAGGCTCGGTAAACACGGCTATATCCGCCAAGGGTAAGTGGAGTGTATACGAAGCGAAAACTTGGCTAGCGAAGATGACAGAATATATGTATCATCAATTTTTTATATAAATTCAAAAACAAATTGATGCATCGATCATCTCTCTTTGCAAAGGATATGTATGTCAGTTGACATGTGTTAATGGACACGTTAATAGACAATTGACCTGTCAATAGGGAAACACACTTCATTCTTGGGTTGTATTTTTCAGGAGATTTTGTGCGGAAGTGGAATGGTTGCATGCTGAACATCCACCCCTCTCTGTTACCCTCCTTCAAAGGACATGATGCGCACCACCAAGTGTTGAAGGCCGACGTTCGGATTTCAGGCTGCACTGTGCATTTTGTAGCTGTAAGTATTATCACTTCTCGGGGTTTTTTGTGGTATTATATCCATTTGTTTTGCTAAACCTTCACATGTATACAATAAATGTGATAGTACATTCACTTTAGGTTAAACAATGATGCAACATACCGGTAAACTTACTGTATACCGGGAAGATTTTGCCCAGTTAAATGTTCGCCCTTTGATCATGATAATACAATTTTCAAGTTTGTAATCCTTCTTTTAAAAGTAATCTGTAACCTAATCACTATGTTGACAATTCTTATTGATTTCAGGAAGAGATAGATTCAGGAGCAATCCTGGTCCAGGAATCTGTGCCTGTGTACCCAGAGGACACTGAGGCGACCTTGTCGGCCAGAATCAAGGTTGTGGAGCACCTTGCCTTCCCAAGGGCCTTGGAACTAGTTGCCAGTGGGCAGGCCAGACTGGGGGAGGAAGGGCGAATAGTCTGGTGTCAGTGAAAGAGTTTCTGTGGGGGCAGGCCACACTGAGAGAGATAAGGCGAATAGTCTTGTGTCAGTGAAAGGAGTGAATGTGGGGGCAGGCTAGACTGGTAGAGGAAGGGCGAATAGTCTTGTGTCAGTGAAAGGAGTGAATGAGGGGGTAGGCTAGACTGGGAGAGGAAGGGCGAATAATCTTGTGTCAGTGAAAGGAGTGAATGTGGGGGCAGGCTAGACTGGTAGAGGAAGGGCGAATAGTCTGGTGTCAGTGAAAGGAGGGAATGTGGGGGCAGGTTTGACTGAGAGAGGAAGGGCGAATAGTCTGGCGTCAGTGAAAGGAGTGAATGTGGGGGCAGGTTTGACTGGGAGAGGAAGGGCGAATAGTCTGGTGTCAGTGAAAGGAGTGAATGAGGGGGTAGGCTAGACTGAGAGAGGAAGGGCGAATAGTCTGGTGTCAGTGAAAAGAGTGAATGTGGGGGCAGGTTTGACTGAGAGAGGAAGGGCGAATAGTCTGGTGTCAGTGAAAAGAGTGAATGTGGGGGCAGGTTTGACTGAGAGAGGAAGGGCGAATAGTCTGGTGTCAGTAGAAGGAGTTAATGTTAATGCAGGCTAGACTGGGAGAGGAAGGGCGAATAGTCTGGTGTCAGTGAAAGGAGTGAATGAGGGGGCAGGCCAGACTAGGAGAGGAAGGACCGAGAGTCTGGTGTCAGTGAAAGGAGTGAATGTGATGGCAGGTTAGACTTAAGGGAGGAAGATTTTGTAGTCTTGTGTCGGTGAAAGGAGAGAATATCCAATAGTTTTATGTCAGTGGAAGGCTTATGTCTTATATATCCTCTCCTCTATTATTATATATTATATATAGGCAACAGCAGACAGATGTAACAGGGATAAACGTCTGTTCTTTTGTTGACATTCAGCGTTATTTAGGCAAATCTTTATCACAAAAACAGCAGCTCACCTTAAACCAGTGTGATAATTACTGTGTTAGACCTGCTGTTAGTGTAGGATCACATACATTGTACCACCTACAGATGCTATAACTCATAAACTTTGCTCTGTCCTGCCATCCTTGTGAAGTTGTCTCATTATAAGAACAATAGTGCTAATCCAAAACAACTATTTCAGATTTGGTGAGCTCTATGTAAATCAATCTGTCTGTCCGTCCGACCTTATGTCAATCAATCCACTTTTTCGCTTTAGTATGATTAATTGCCTGAGTGTTATATTTGTTAATGCATTTTTGAGATTGAAAATCTATTGTAATGAAATGTATATACTGATAGATGTAGCATTATCATGTTGTCATGTTTGACCATCACAGGTTAGTAATGTCTGTTAACAGATAAGATGTAGCATTATCATGTTGTCATGTATGACCATCCCAGGTTAGTAATGTCTGTTAACAGATAAGATGTAGCATTATCATGTTGTCATGTTTGACCGCTGTACATCATTATCACAGGTTAGTAATGTCTGTTAACAGATAAGATGGAGCATTTCATGTTGTCTTGTTTGACCGCTGTACATCATTATCATAGGTCATTAATGTCTGTCAAACTGGTAAGTCGTCTACAATAATTATATCATGTTTAATTTCATCATTGTCGATTAAGTCTCAGCTTAATTATTATGTCTGTAAAACAGGCAGTCCATCTTCTGTAACCCAGTATGTTCCCCGAGTATGTTTCCAACTGTCAAACAGAAAAGTCGCATATATTATCTTATCATCTTTGATTATTGTCCCTCATAGTTCCAGCTTATTGTATCTTTCAAAAAGATCAGTCGTATTCCATAATCATATTTGGCTGTTATCTATATGGATTAATTATATCTGTCCAACAGATAAGTCCTATACCACAAGCATGTCATATTTGACTATTATACATCATAATCCCAGCTTATTGTGTCTGTCAAACAGAAGTTCTATACCACAAGCATGTCATGTTTGACTATTATACATCATAGCCCAAGCTTATTGTGTCTGTCAAACAGAAGTTCTATACCACAAGCATGTCATGTTTGACTATTATACATCATAGCCCAAGCTTATTGTGTCTGTCAAACATAAGTTCTATACCACAAGCATGTCATGTTTGACTATCGTACATCATAGTCCCAGCTTATTGTGTCTGTCAAACAGAAGTTCTATACCAAAAGCTTGTCATGTTTGACTATTATACATCATAATCCCAGCTTATTGTGTCTGTCAAACAGAAGTTCTATACCACAAGCTTGTCATGTTTGACTATAGTACATCATAGTCCCAGCTTATTGTGTCTGTCAAACAGAAGTTCTATACCACAAGCATGTCATGTTTGACTATAGTACATCATAGTCCCAGCTTATTGTGTCTGTCAAACAGAAGTTCTATACCACAAGCATGTCATGTTTGACTATAGTACATCATAGTCCCAGCTTATTGTGTCTGTCAAACAGAAGTTCTATACCACAAGCATGTCATGTTTGACTATAGTACATCATAGTCCCAGCTTATTGTGTCTGTCAAACAGAAGTTCTATACCACAAGCATGTCATGTTTGACTATAGTACATCATAGTCCCAGCTTATTGTGTCTGTCAAACAGAAGTTCTATACCACAAGCATGTCATGTTTGACTATAGTACATCATAGTCCCAGCTTATTGTGTCTGTCAAACAGAAGTTCTATACCACAAGCATGTCATGTTTGACTATAGTACATCATAGTCCCAGCTTATTGTGTCTGTCAAACAGAAGTTCTATACCACAAGCTTGTCATGTTTGACTATAGTACATCATAGTCCCAGCTTATTGTGTCTGTCAAACAGAAGTTCTATACCACAAGCTTGTCATGTTTGACTATAGTACATCATAGTCCCAGCTTATTGTGTCTGTCAAACAGAAGTTCTATACCACAAGCATGTCATGTTTGACTATAGTACATCATAGTCCCAGCTTATTGTGTCTGTCAAACAGATAAGTCCTATACCACAAGCATGTCATGTTTGTCTATTGTACGTCATTGCCCCAGCTTATTATGTCTGTCAAACAGATAAGTCCTATACCACAAGCATGTCATGTTTGACTATTGTACGTCATAGCCCCAGATTATTGTGTCTGTCAAACAGATAAGTCCTATACCACAAGCATGTCATGTTTGACTATAGTTCATCCTAGTCCCAGCTTATTGTGTCAGTCAAACAGAAGTTCTATACCACTAGCATGTCATGTTTGTCTATTGTACGTCATTGCACCAGCTTATTATGTCTGTCAAACAGATAAGCCCTATACCACAAGCATGGCATGTTTGACTATTGTACGTGATAGCCCCAGATTATTGTGTCTGTCAAACATATAAGTCCTATACCACAAGCACGTCATGTTTGACTATAGTTCATCCTAGTCCCAGCTTATTGTGGTTGTCAAACAGATAAGTCCTATACCCCAAGCATGTCATGTTTGCCTATTGTACGTCATAGCCCCAGATTATGGTTTCTGTCAAGGAGATAAGTCCTATACCAAAAGCATGTCATGTTTGACAATAGTACATCATAGTCCAAGCTTATTGTGTCTGTCAAACATAAGTTCTATACCACAAGAATGTCATGTTTGACTATATGTCATCATAGTCCCAGCTTATTATGTCTCTCCAACAGATAAGTCCTATACCGCAAGCATGTCATGTTTGAGTATTGTACGTCATAGCCCCTGATTATTGTGTCTGTTAAACAGATAAGTGCTATACCACAAGCATGTCAGGTTTGACTATTGTACGTCAGTTCTATACCACAAGCATGTCCTGTTTGACTATAGTTCATCATAGGCCCAGCTTATTGTGTCTGCCAAACAGAAGTTCTATACGACAAGCATGTCATGTTTGAGTATTGTACGTCATAGCCCCAGATTATTGGGTCTGTCAAACAGATAATTCCTATACCACAAGCATGTCAGGTTTGACTATTGTACGTGATAGCCCCAGATTATTGTGCCTGTCAAACAGATAAGTCCTGTACCACAAGCATGTCATGTTTGACTATAGTACATCATATTTCCAGATTATTGTGTCTGTCAATCGGATACATCGTGTATTACAATCATATCATGTTTGACAATAGACCGTCAAAGTCCAAGCTCATTATATCTGTCAAACACTTAATGTCGATTTTTTTGAAATCTTTTGAAACTTGTTTCATAGAAATACTTTATGAATCGTACTTATTTGAGATTTTGATGGAAAATCAATATCGCTGTTTGACTTATAAGGTGCTATAGATTGTAAAATAAATGTTGATTAATGATAATTTGAAATTTGCTAGGCTCACGTAATATAACTATATCCTATGTGCCGCAAAAATAAACTATTAGCTGTTGCAACTGAATGAGTTTCGTTGTATTGTATGCACAATATTAGACAATGTTTCCATTGAGACGTAAGTCTCCAAATTGATTTCGAAGCGAACTGACTGTTAGAAATTTTGAAGTTTGAAAATAGAAATAGTAGAAGTAGGAACGTAGCGAGTCTAACTCCGGGACTGTCCAGCTTACACTTGACCAGTGCTACCGTCCTCCAATTGTAAATGAACAGCATACCAATGAGAGTTTTTGTTTTACATCCTATTAACAGCTCATTTAAGGACGTGCTAGGTTTTTGTGGTGGAGAAAAGCCGAAATAAAAAAAACCTGACTTCGCCCAGTAACCTGGCAGCTGCCCAACGTAGGCCTCGAACCCGTAAACCAATGGTGGATGTCTAGTGATCGCAGACGGTCGGACGCCTTAACCACTCGACCGTTTCTGTCCAAATATTATTCTGGATCATCATATGAGCGGCCAATTTATGGATTGAAAATATTGATAAAATAAATCAACTTTGAAAAACGTGAGGGTTAAAGCTCCTTTCAGTTGCTTCATATTTTCATGAATAAGGGAGATTACGCCAAGTCAGGAACCCTTTGCGATTACAAATAGATGAAGTGGTACCATGAAATACATAAAACTAAAGAAAATCAAATCGGCAGGTGCTACAGCCGATGAGAGTTACAGGTTACAATAATATTTTTTCAAAATAGATTATTAGCATCTAGACCTACTGAATGCTTCCTCGATATTTGATTTTATCGTTAAAGGAACAAATCTTAACAGTACAGTGAAATATAATTGTTGGTGCAATTGTAAGGACCAAAAGGACGCTACCCCAGCAGCCGGTACGTCTAAGACGTGATAGTACTCGAATTTGACCAAACTTTACGTAGCATATATCGTCGACTAAGCAGAAGAGTAGCATATGTCGTCGATTAAGCAGAAGACATTTTTGTTGCCGTAGATCTATCGTTTTTGAGTTCCATTTATGGTTTTGTTGAAACTTCGATATCCATTTGGTTTTATACATGTGCTCGAGCTACTTACCATGTTAGCTTGCATACAAGCAAATGCTGGCTTGTACTTGCTTGGCACTGTCTGATTTCACGTTCAACAAAACAATAACTCTTTCTTCACCTCTCTATCGTTTTGGATCTGTATGTGAAGTTGCAACGAACATAGTCTATGTAGTTCACCGGAATAAGTTACAAGACCACGTTGGTAGTATATATTATCCTCATGAACTTGAAATCAAGGACACTACAAACCCATTTGCTTCAGCAACTTACCTTAATTACCTCAAACAAGGTCAACAACATAAAACGCCTTTTATTAAGCTGTGCAATAAGCATGACGATTTCAAGTATTATCATCGTAGGAGGAGTTCGGTAATATTTAATCGAAAATAACATCATTGCTTTATTACCGTAAACAACATTGTAAGAATGTGTTCTGGTAAACACATACATTTTCTAACAAAGGGGAATGACTCCGCTAAGCATGAACATTATACCAATGTGAAATAAGATTGGTATGATGATATATAACAAACTCCCAATTCAGTACACAACCAATTTAAATGTTCACGGGAAAAGAGATACATTATAAATGTTTCGGTCTCCAACATATCATTTCGTTAAGCTTGAAAATCATTTATTTTGGTGTTGCCTTTTTTTTGGGTCCTTTTACCTGTTATAATACCATCGTAAAAACAGTACGTTGAACCCTGTCAGGAGTTGGTTTCTGATAGTATTATTTACTCCTTTATTTATAATTAAGATTAATCAGTTGACCTACGAACAAAATATGAGATAAAAACCGAAAGTATCCGTATTTGAGGTTCATAGAAGTAATATGTTAATGTAGGGTAAAGCATTTTCCTGTCCGAGTTGTAATTGGGAAAGAAAGTAGAAATCTTTTTACTTATGTATGTATGTCTGACATTCTGTTGGATAATTTTCTAGTTCTTCGCTCTAGACTCTTAAGCAAACAGGTAGTGAGGAATGTTATTTCCGCTTTTGATAAAGTAAGTTGGTAATAACACCAAATTCATGTTGATAGTTACTATATTTACAAATCTGGATGTCCGTCGTTGTACAAGATTGCCGAATTGGTTTTATTATTATACGTTTAAGCCAATAAAATAAGGGGACAATATTTCAACCATGAGCTCTGGAATAGTAAGCGCCTGAATTTCCATTGATAAACGAAACCATGTTCATTTATACCTCGTTTTGGATGTCCATTTAAATCACACATCAACAGTTGAAACTACTACTGTTTCAACTAAGACAGATGTTACATTTATATTAGAAAGAATTACGCTATTTTGAAGTGCTTTTTACATTTTGCTTAAAAGTACAAAGTGGTGGAAATGCTTTACGCGCAGAAAGGTTATCCGTATCCAAAAGCACTTTCGAGATGGTGATATCTCTACCACTAATGTTGCCAAACTTCAAAGGAAATCACGTCTGCATTGAGTGAGTCGATAACAACAAAAATCCTGAGTTTTATCTAAATGTGAAACAAATGTAAATCGTACATAAAAACGTGCACGGACAGGGGCGGCAGTGTTTTGTACATTCTTAAGTTATTTCAGCAGATTGGGGGCAAAGATGATAAACATTTCTATTACATTAACAAAACACCGCCAGCGGGATCATTTGAACGAGCTTGTTGATTTAACGTCGAAATTCAATATACAGCATTTATATTATAATGATTTAATCTTGCTTGTAACAAGCTTTTTCATTGGCTTCAAAATTAATGTAATCAGCCCATAACATAAAAAAACGACGTCGCTGGTTGTAACGTCGCTTTTGATTGGCTGACACAGCAGCGCAATAATTTCTAAGAGAAAAGAGTCCATCAATAAAAGTGGATTTCCACAGGGATTGTGTATAGTAGATTAAATTATAAAGATTAACTTGAATATATTTTTCATGTTATGGAACTACAACACAAAAAAAACGGAGTGTACTCTCATCATAAACCGCTTCGCGGTTTACTTAGAGTACACTCCGTTTTTTGTGTGTTATATCTCCATAATATGAAAAACATATTCAAGTTAATCCTTTATTAGAATATTACCGGTAATAGTTTCAAATGTTTTTCCTATTTGGATGAAAATGAAAAATAAAAGCGAAATTGGAAATTAGCTTGTATGCGTTAGAGGTAATGATACTTTCTTTATGAATTGAAACACCCCGCAACGTCATGCTTTACCTCATCCGCAGCCTCATACTTTTCCTGGCGAGGCTTCTTCATGTTGTATCATTTCTCGAAGACTGGGTAATACATGGTAAATGCCTCGGAAGGAATGTTGGAAATACATTTGGTATACCTCACTACTTGGGAGAAGCTGCAGAGAGAGCATCGTGCTGGCTATTGCAAAAACGAGAAGGGCCGATGTGGAAGCCGACATAGACGTGTAGTGGTTTGGCCACCACTTCTGACCCACCAACCGGAGGATGTAATGATTAACGATACATCTTAAGAGGGCTGGCCATTACCTGATGACGGCAAATGAGGCTTCGCGACAAGAATGACAACGGTGACAGACTACAAGTCAAGCATGTCACAAGATGCAGAATTACCATCATCTGTAAGCAATCATCACTTGAAGTGCTTAGATAGATACATATTTCCGAATTGGCACGATAATTGAAGACTATGTTGATATGTATCGAGTAGTGTTAACATTGTGATGATGTTTAGGTGTTTGAAAAATTGAAAATGTACAGAGAAGAACTTAAATACCAAAAGTGCTCACGTTCATGCTTCTTAAGATATTACCGTCGACATAATATTTAGCTATTTCATGACCCAAACTCTGATTCTGCTCTCGACAACCTCAGAATCAGCAGTGGAGAGACAACAACCTCGAACATGT